TAGACTTACGAAGCTGAGCAAGACTTAAGTGAAAACTATAATAATTAACGGCCGATCGACACGCAGACGCGAGAGAACAATTGTGTTTTTAATGTTTTGATCAACCAAGATTCCAAAGACTATCATGATAAAAACAGGCAAACCACACAAAATAATTAAGGCGAACTATGTAGCGTAGACAAAAAATGCATTATTCCAATAATAACAGACACCTGTAATTGATGACATATCCCGATAATACAACCAAGGAGCACCATGCAGCCACCAAATGATAATGAATATCAAAGAAAGTCGATATGCATTTTTGGTACTGCTCAGTTTTCGAAAGCGAACATTTTGAGATGTAACAAGAAATTGATCGATAGTAGTCATACATGTACAACACGTAGAAATAGCACAACAGCTTGTAATGAAAAAATAATGAAGTTTACACCACACGACAGAAATACGTATCACGCCAGTGCCTAGAGGTGTGACCACAACTATCAGACCAATTGCAGCTATAAAAATACCGCATTCATGTATAGAATCGATGATACAATAGAATGCACACGGAGTCTTTCGACAATAGAATACTGTTGCTAAAATGAACACCTGTATGATACTTCCGAGAAGTCCTAAAACTAAGAAAAACAGTCTGATATAGAATATAATTATCCATCTCATTACGATCGATGTCGTCATGATTGGCTTTGGCGATGAACTCACTTGTAATTAGATGTCAAGCTAAAATTGAAATAAAAAATCTTTAACAAATTGTCAATATATAGCTAAATGAAACTTCGTAGTTTTACACTACACATATACTCTCGAAAACTGATTTTTCTCTTATATGTTGAGAACATTTCTGATTACGATGGCGGGGAGGGGGGGATTTGATAAAAATCGTAGAGTCATCTTAACCATTAGTCAGAGTAGATGCATTGCAGAAATATTCCGTTAAATTTGCACTCTAATTATAAAATATCCTTTTCATATAACGGTGGTGATTTTTTATTAAGAAAAAGTCTGTTGAACGCAGAACACATACCGACTTGCTCTTCAAAATAAAAAAAAACGCAATTATATCTAATGAAGCTTGCTCGATGTTTCTCAGCTGCGTCATGCATAAGTGTAGATGCAAGATGGAATAAGAAATGCTTTTGCAGCTATTTTGTTTTATAATGGCATCAGATGTTTTAAAAGTTTATGAGAATATTCATTAGAACGGCTCCGGAAAAGAAGTACCGAATAAAAAATAACGCAGGCCACGAGAGGCGATGATATGAACTTCACCCGATGGTATCTATTTAATTTTCGACAGTTCTAATTAAAATCGTTGCTTTCAAGCTGTGAAGAATAGATTTTCTGCTCGCCTATTAATAGATTATTTGACTAGCACTTGTCTTGAAAATCGGTCATAATTTCGCTGTTAGGTGAATTCGTCGCAAATGTACTATAATTGATTAGACCTGTACTATCCCAGACCCAAACGGTACGGCGGAAAACTGTTGGTTTCGGTGAAATTCCGGCAAAAACATGGAAGCAGTATTCCGGGACCGGTTACGGCTTCTTCCCTGCTGATTCTTGCAACTGGATGAAATGCCAGGATCCCATTGCCGTTTCCGGCAAGGTTCCTGAGAAGGGTTCCGACGCCTTTTCACGGGAGCAGGATCCGAATTATATTCCTTTCGTTTCCAATTCGGTTGCAACTCCCAGATCCGACCGTTTTTATTTTCTTTCAGACGGTCTAATCCCGCAACCGGAAACGATAGGATGTACTCGAAAACGTATTCCTTATAACTACATGACTGCCATACCTTACAATCGACAAATTGGATCGCTCTCTCAAAAGAATCTCTAGAATACAATTGTATATTCAATGTTCAAATATATGGTATATTAAGAAAAAATTACAATTCCATGCAAGCATTGATAAAGATTTTGGCTATCTTCAAAACATCGGACTAAATTGGATATGATAGTCATTTTTAAAGCAGTTTTAAGGAGTACGAATTTAACAGCATTCTAATAACAAGCAGACTGGATATAAAATACCGCGTAAGAGATTGCACAACTCACAACTCACTGCTGAGAGCAATAGTTGAGTAGAGACCACGATTGACTATTGAATTGTGTCTTCAAATTGGAAGATATTATTTAGTTCAAATAATCGCACGCGACAATGCACGATAACTAGGTAAACGGAACCACTACTAAGCTGATTTAAATTAAATTAATTGTCAGAGTTCAAAAACATCTGATAAAAAAACGTCGACACCATAAAAAGCAATAAATTACACGTCCATCTCTGGAAAGTCTAGAAACCGACAAAATACTCAAATCTTATCATTTTAAAGGGCGTCAAGCACACCTGTCACAGATACGAACGGAAGGTGGCAGGCAGGCACTAGAGCAGAAAGGCCATTCTCTCCGAATCCAACCGAGTTAGATATGTCAAAAACTAGAGCGCTAAAAACGTATTGAAATACCAAAACAGTCTTCAGACTGTATAGCAGCCAACCTTCACCTATATATATATGTGTGTGCGTTCGACACTTCGAAGTTTATTCACTCGCTCATGCAGCTACTAATAAAGTGCCTTCAAGATTGCCTGAGACTCTTCAAACTGGCCTAGCAATACATGAACACCCTGAAGATCACCAGTCTATCCACATGAGGGAGCATTCAAAGTTCCAACCCCAGATGTGCAACACATCTGTTCAGATAAGTCACAGATAACACTTCGCATACTTTTTTGTATACCAAAACTTTCTCAAAAATCATTCCAACCTCATTTCTAATATTAATCGATGATAATTGAAAATAAGAATCGACATAGGACTTTGGACTTGTTATAGATCTCCCTTGAACAACATTTACAATCAGTGTCGTACTCTCCATCAGCAGAATATCATCTAATTAAGGTAAATAGAACAAATCACCTTCAAAGATCTTTATTAGTAAAATCATGATTTCGGGCTTAAATCAAGCTCGAATTACAGCGTTTCTTCGGGGAAAGATCTTAGAATATGATTTTCTATCGATCTGGATCTTCTAATCACAGAAATACCCTATAACTAATGTAACGATCAATAAGATTCTGTTGAGTTTATATCGTATTGACAAACTTGATAGAGGTGAAGTAGCTTACAGCCACTCACGACAATGATGTTTATTCATTTATTCCCATATCCAGAGTGTAACCACTTCATACATAACACATGTATATATATAGGAGAGAGATATATTATAACAGTGGAAAGAGAATAGAAGGAAGAGGAAGGAGAATCATCGAAGTGTGCCACCAATATCGTCACAGCTAAGGTAGTCACAAGAAAGATCTCTAGTGATCTTCGTGGATCTTTCGTATTTGTTTCAGGATGTAGAATCGTGGGTTCCGTTGTACTTCCGGTTTGTCCCATCGCTATCCTTTGCTTTTCCGTTTTGGATGCGAAGGTTTCCGCTGGCATTCCTGATTTCCTCCTCCCTGTTCCTCTAGGATCATTGTATGTTCCTTAGAGTTTCCTATGACCGGATTTGCGAGGAAGTTAAGGGTTCAGGGGACGTTCTTTTTCTGCAGAATTCGGCGGGAAAGACTAGGGAACCGATGGGAAATCACCGGAAAGAAGCCGTTTCCAGACCGGTTCCGGAAGGATCTGGAGACCGGAATCATCGACCTGGGTATGTCTTTCTGTTAATTGGCTTAACTAAAACCGTATTTCAATTAATGTATATAATTATAACTCTGTTATCCTCACCGAGCAAAAAATAAATATTCTAATAGTGTTTTCGAATAATAAAAGAAACAATTATTCTATAAAGTAAAGACAATCACTTGTTTTCAATACTAATATAATTATTTACTACTATTTCACAAAGAATGAATACTATCAATACATTTTCAAGCGAGAAAGAAAATTTGATGCTTGGCAATGAAGGTTACAATTATTCTTTAGAACGAAAAGCTTTTGCAAAAATGATTTTTCGATATCACAGTTGAGATTGCAAAAGTAAATTTAACTAAAATATGATTTGCACCAGACTTCTCTATGGATAAATTTCTCTCCACCTCTACATTAATTGTGTTACATTCAATTAACTATGCCACGAATTGTCCAGTTACCATAATTTCATATTGTTTTTACTACCATTATACAAATATATTATTATTCTAAAATAATATATGAAACTTGGTAAATAACTATGACGTTTTTGTTTAAGAATTAATGATGTTAAAAGAATACTATGTGATAGTAATCGACCCATCGGATGTCAAGCCAGCCAGTATCTATATACAATATTATACTGTTTTGTAAAATGAGATTGACGTAGCTATCTCATTTCATAAGATTCGATAGATGGTGAGATAAAAGAGAATTTCTATAGTTTTCTCTAACATTCTATTATTTTGTTTAGGAAATTAAAATTTTCCTTGACTTTTTGGTGGCATAAGACACAGCGAAAGAGAAATGTTCTCATCTTTCGTAGTTTTCATCATCACCACGCGGATGACTTTAAAAAAATTAATTCGAGTGCACTTATATGAAGTGTATTTTTCGCCTATTATATATTGCGTTTATCAACTTGATTATTGTAACACACGTTACTCAAGACGAGTAGATTATTCTTTCTTTCTTTGTTCTAGAATGACTAAAAAAGTATAGAATAATTAATTATTTAACTCTCAATGAGCAACTCGTATGATATGATACAGCTACTTTTATATTTTATTACAAAAAGTAGATAGGCTTTCTGTAATACTCATGAGTACATCGCAGGATTTTACATCCAATCAACTCTCGTTTTTTTAAAATTTTTCTCACAAAAATACACTGAAAATGTCACATTGACCTAACGTAGAAACGAAATAGGCTGATCTGTTTTAAATTCTATCAAACAAAATAGTAATCAAACCATAATCAATGAAAAAATATAGCCGTCCAGATAAGTACGTTAATGATTGCCAAATCATATAGATTAGAGCAAAAAAATAAACGGACTCAAGCTTCTCATTTCCTGCAGCGCGCAAAGGAGGTTTTGACTGTTTGTTTATCTATTAGCCACCGCTTTTAACCCGAACGTGGAATCTGTTGTGGATGGGTGGTGCGAAAGTTTCTGGATTAAACATTTGTTCACTTCTAACTCACTTGAAAGTACTTTTAAGAAAACTAACAAAATGAGAAATGAGACAAATATTAGTTGATTAATCATTTAGTAAATTGCACGTATGCATAATCAGCCATATTAAGAATTTTATTGACGTGCCGTACTCAGAGGCGGCGAAACGACATTCAGCCATGGAAGGCTCATAATATAGTTTTCTACCGTCAAATTTTAGCAAAGCTGGAAGCATGTTGGCGATCTTCATTTTATTGAACTTAAAGAAAGAATCAAAACAGTCAGCATAAAATATAAATAATTAAAAAGTAAATAAAAATAAATTTCTCTATTTGTTCTTTATTTAGCTATATGCATGTGAGAATATGTAGATCAATGTGTTACATGCTTAACATAGCAAATCCAGAGAATATAAATTAACAATATTCAGCGGGAAATCAAGTGAAGCTCAAGCTTCATGGGTCTCAATGATCTCGCTATCATTCTTTATACTTAAAGAAAAACACAAAATATAATAAAGATTGTAACACCAGCTATTATATCTGCACATTTTTATGCACGAGACATCTCCATCAAAACAGACATCTACTAAGAATTCATTAAACAAAACAGAACTTTGCCATACTGGAACAACAGCACAATAAGAAAAAACGTGATGGTATACAATGCTCTCGAAATCCTACAGTCCTAACAAGGAGACACGTTCTCATCTAAGACTTATGCACTTCGCACGAACTGTTAACAAAGAGTTTCAGAAAAAAGCGCACGAATCCGATAAGAATTCTACTGATTGTTACAAAATACAAGTGGTTACAGCCATGCAATACCTCTCAGTGAAACCAAAGGTTACAATACTGGTGAATTACTATAAACTAATTCGTTGTAGATAAACTCTTTCCAATATACTTATCGCCTGTCGGAAACAATCGGTTGCTAGTTTCCGAAGCCAAAGTTGCGCATCGAAATATGTTGACATTCTGACTGATATCAAAAAATTATTCTTATTTTCCTACAAATTTATATAAGGAAATCAAGTTCGTTCGAAAATATAAAAATTATTAAAATATAACTTCATTCACGACAAGAAAGAATTCTATTTGCAATCTGAAAAGATAAATAGAATTTCAAAGATGTAATAATTATTCTCCTCTTTTCGCTGGTGGCAATAATAGATTCATGACTTCATTTTCATATAGTATAATTAAGTATCCGTGATATACGTATTCAACATTTAGATGACCGCTTATTGGATAAAATAGTTGAATAATTCTACAATCAAAGGTATGCGCATCATTGAACACTCGTTAACAAATCGATTTCATAGTGCTAAACTCAAATGAAATATTCGCTTAATCCAAATTTATCGATAGAGAGTTAACCGGCATCGTAGTCGGCCTATATTTCTTATATTTTTCGAAAATTTGAAGATTCTTGAGAAAAGAGTCATATATTCTTCGAATAAGTGCCTACTCCGTTTTTTTGTATTGCCCGTGGTGCACATAATATCACGCAGATGTGGGCGTAAGTATATATGTGATGATGCTTACTTTATGTTAGTTTGTCGTCATAATGCATATTCACTGCATTCATCGACTTTTTATATATTTTGAATGATTGTCGCATAAGACATGGGAATCTGATTTTGAAAAATATAGACGCCGATTCGATTCTTCATTTGTTCCCATTCTTTCTTTATTGATCTGGATTTCACCTATTGCTGAAAAATAGTTTTAAACGATTTCACTGATCTAATTCGTCATCTTTATATATTAATGTTAAAATATGCTGACGTGAGTTTAATCAAAACTGGTTGACCAAAATAGAGGCTGAATGTGTGAATGTAAATCAAAAGCTAAAACAAGAGGAGAATATATCAACATTTAAATGTATTTTGTGTAAAATAGTAATCGCATAGTATTAATAAAAGTATTGTTTATTTCCTTTGAACTATAAATAATTTTTTTATGATATTCGTTCTATTTAATTTTGCATCATTTATATGACATATTACTATTCTATATATTTGAGACAACTGATTGCTAGAAAATGTTTTTTTTGGCTGCTTCAGAGCCAGCTGGTGATCAATACTGTTAGTGTAAGACATTTGGATAAAACAACATGGATTTTATTGAAGAAAGAAAATTGAAATTCGATATTCATATGTACTTCACAACAGATAAGATTATATATTACATAAAAACTGTTAAATCGTGGGAACAATACGTCCTTGACGTTGTCCGCATAACCATAGCTTCTTCACCATACGACGAAAACGAGATGATGAACACATCAAGAGATAGAATCGTCCCTAGAGTTTTATGATAAAAAGATGAATAGTTTAGTTTAGTTTAGAAAATACGCTTACTCCATAAGCAACTGCACTAAACAAATAAGTAATGTTGCTAGCCAACGTCTCCTTGACTTCTTCATCAGCAGTCTTTTGAAAATTGAGTGTGATAAGTAAAAAAACACGATTAATGCCATATGGAGCTAGACCGACTAAGGTTAGCACGACTTGAATGAAAACTACAATGACCAATTGTCGATCGATGCCTAAACGCGAGAGAAAAATTGTTTTTCCGATGTTTCGATAAGCTAATAATCCAAATATCGTCATGATTAAACAAGGTAAACCACAGAGAACAACACACGAAAAAAATATACCATAGAAGGCAAAATTATAACTACGACGAACACAAGCACCCGTGATTGGTGAGATATTCTGAGAATATATCCAAAGGGTCCCTTGCAGCCACCAAATGATAGCAAACGACAAGCAAACTCGATATGCATTTTTAATACTACTCAATTGACGGATGCGAGCATTTTGAGATGTGATGAAAAACTGATCGATAGTAGCCATACATAGACAACTCGAAGACATGGCACAGCAGCTTGTTATAAAAAAATAACGAAGCTTACACCAAACAATAGATAGCTGTCCCAGGTCAGTTCTTATGAGTGCAGAAGCGACTAGCTGACCATAGGCAGTTGTAAAGATACCACATTCGTGTATTGCAGCCACAATAAAATAGAACGTGCACGGAGTCTGCCGATAGTATCTATCAGCCATTAAAATGAACACCTGCATGACAGTACCGAAAAGTCCCACAATTGTACTAAATGAACCAAAATAGATCACAACCATTTGGTTAATAAAAACGAGCGACACCATGACTCGATGTTGCGATAAATTTCGTTGAAATTGAATTTCACCCTAAAATTATTAGGAACAATTAGAGGCGAGGTTTAGTCAAACAATGAATCTGTAGCGTAAATGACTATTTCAATCGGAAAAATACCGCTCAGGTTAAAAATCCGTTTCATTTACACAGAATGTATATTTCTATTTGTACTAGGCATGATAGACATTTACCAGAAAAGTGAATAAGAATAACTTTAATTTCTATGGGATAAATGATTCGGAAATACGCATTCATCTAAAAGGGTGTAGACTGAATGCATCGTTTAAGAAATATACGAAGTGGTTGTTTGCGTGTTATAACACGAAATAATTGGAAAATTAGTAGACAATGTAATGAGAATAACGTTAGAACTCATTGCAAAAATGTTTCGAAGGAATATTTTAATAGAATGAAAAAGAAAATTAGAGACTATGTAGCCTATTTTTTTGTGAAGGTTGCTCTTTGAAGGAAAGACCCGTCGCAAAGGATGAAAAAGAGAATAATTTTTACATTTTAAAATTTTTTATATAACATTGAAGAGATTGTTTTAGGACGCATTTTTCTGAACGCTAATGGTACAAGAGTTCGATATATGTGCACGATGCACACATGAGTGTGTATATATATTTATGTATGTTTGATCGTTCTTTATATACAGAAAATTCATTTATGACCTGAACGATATTTCAACGATCGGTGATTTGTTCACCGCTACGTTAAATAAATGTACTTAATGCTTTCTGATGGGAATGTTGTAACAAAGAAACGACCGATAGGTAATAAGAAGTTTTTCGCACCAAAAATCGCTACACAACGAAACGCCAGTTACTTTTGAAGATAAAGTTAGTACCACAACTTAAGCGTAGAGTGGAGATTGAAGTGCATTAGAAATGGAAAAGTTCACTGATTTATGTAACGACATATGATAGAATATTTATCAGAAAACAATCAAAATATATTCCTTTCCGGAGAGCTTTTCGTTTTCATGTTTAAACAATTAATAGAAACATCCTTATCTAAGAAAAACATTGAAAAATGATACTGTAGCAAGCAGATTAACTCTCGTTTATTAGAAGAAAATCCGTCTATATCATTAGCTACATACTCATTTCCTTTTTGAAACAAAAGATGATATTTATATCCAGTTAACATTTCTCAAGAATTACGAGGCGCAAATTCGAAAGCAGATAATCATTTATAATAAAAAAACAAGACTTTCTGTATTTACTAAAAGCAGCTGATTTTTGTCAGCTACATGACGATGCAACTCATCAGAAACGTTCGCAACAAAAAAGTATTAAATAAACAATCTTGCTATTGATTAAGTTCCATCAGTTCGATATACATAATTTTAAAAGTATACGTTCGCCATTTACTTAAATATGATTAGATGGAACTTGTTATACTTTTCTTAAAATAGTTTTATCCCTATTCGTCCAAACTCGCCATGCACCAATTTAAAGCCTAATCAATTTCAATTCCAATCTTGTCTTAGAATTGGTTGAGTGTTTTATGGAATTGACAATGGTTAGTCAGAAACCGGTCTGAATTAATATTGATTAGAGGTAGGAAACTACCGCCATAGAAGCAGCTACTTCACCAATTACTCGCTAGTCGAATAACAACAAAACTCTAGATTTTATTTTTGCATCAAACAAGAGTTTTTAAGAAACTAGTAAATTTTTATACCGTTTAATCAAGAGCGTTAGTGATCGAAGAATCCAAACCTATCATTGGTTGCTCGTAATTGCGTGCATAATCTTTTTGAACAAAAATAAGCCTTGCTTTTCAAATCACTGCTTTTTATCGTATTTGCGATAAAATTGCAGGGTATGGTTTCTTGACCGCGAAATACAGTAAAATTTTTTCAGAAGCTGATTGCAGATAGGGATTCGTGGATCACGCAAATTATCGGTCAAACTTCATAAAAAAATTCGTTATGTTCTTAAAAACAGCCTTCCTTGATGTGATAATAAACTCTAGAGTTTTGTTGTTATTCAACTACCGACTAATTAGCGAAGTAGCTGCTTCTATAGTAGTCGTTTCTTACCTCTAATCAATATTAATGCCGACCAATTTCAGGAATTTGCTTGCATTGGTTGAAACTGGAATCAGTTCATCTCTAGTCTAAACACATTTCTTAAAGACTTATGTTTTCCAAAGCTATAAATATGAATTGTTTTGAATCATGCGGCTAAAAATGGGATTAGGGTCAAAAACCTTATTATATTATTTTTTTTCTACAGACAATAGATTGCTCGTAGAAACCTCAGAGAATCTTTCTGTGAAGACCTCATATGTACTTTTCATCTCACAATGGAGTTGTTTGTGTTGTAAGTTGAAAAGACTAGATATTTTTACATCAAAATAAAGCTCTCATCGCCAAACTAACAAGGTTAAGATATTAGCTCCCCTTAGTTTGTCTAGAAGGAGATATTCGATTCTTCAGTGAATTTTCTCTATAGAACTGACTTTCCCAGCAACATCATATTTTCGAATTTGGATCTGAAACTTTGTATGCGTGAAGGTCTCAATGAGACTAGTTTACAGAAAAAAAATCAGAAGTTTTGGACAAACCCTCTTTGAGATATGAATCTCTCAAAATATTGACGATTTTCTATAGAAGCTGTATGCTTAAGACATCTATATCTCGAAGAGAGTTTGTCTAAAACTTCTGATTTTTTTTCTGTAAGCTATTCTCATTGAGACCTTCACGCGTACAAAGTTTCAGGTCCAAATTCGAAAATATGATGTTGCTGGGAAAGTCGGTCCTATAGAGAAAATTCACTGAAAACTCGAGGATATCCCTCTAGACAAGCCAAGGAGAGCTAATATTCTAACCTTGTTAGTTTGGCAATGCGAGCTTTATTTTGATGTAAAAATATCTAGTCTTTTTAACTTACAACACAAACAACTCCATTGCCACTAGGGTTTTCCTGGAATATTCGAATCGACAGATTTTTCATGTGGACTCTAAGTAGATTATCTCATTTAAATTTTTGACTTAACTATAATGAAACACACTGTGAAATACGAGCAAATATTTTTCGTTCTTCGATCCTATGTCATTAGCAAAACAAGATGAGCTCAATTTTCTTCAGTGCAACACAATAACTCTTTAATCTCACGATGTGTACTTATAAGTAGATGAAACAAGTTTTTCTATATTTTATGACATAGCATAATTGCACGGATTGATATGGATGTGGGATGGAAGTTTGCAAAATCTCAATGACTCTTACTATAAATGAATTACATTTCACTAATAATATTTTCATGCTGATTGCGAATACAATATTTTCAAAAATTTCGTAACATAGATGTAGTCGACATAAGACAGTTTCCGTAGAAAAAAACACATTCGCAGCTGTAATTACTATATCCAAGTCAATTCATATGATTATGATTTTCCCAACTAAATTGCGATTGACTCGTGCTTTCCTCGTCTGCAGTGCCTATATGAGATATTGGATTTTTAAAATATACAAATTATCGGAATGTAGATATATCTATTAGTCGAGTCTTGTGCGTTAAATGTGATATTTGCTATTCTTTATAGTTTCAAGCACATTGCAGAACTACTTTTATCGCAATGATACACTTGACATGGCCCCTACTTGAGTACTACCAATTTATAACTAACTACGTCATTGTCAACCTTCTATTCTTGATGAATTTATTAGAGAAGACTTGAATGATTTTTGCGCATAAAACTTCTACTTAGCTAAACGCGCATCATAACAATATAATATTGCAGGTGTAATATAAGATGCATGGCTGTGGAGAAAGTCAGAAAAATAATGATTGTATTAAGCAAAACGATGCCTCATAAATGTTAGGAGATGTTAGCGATAGGGAAAAAATAAGAGATGAAAACTATTCATACATTCATAGAAACGTTGATGAGAGAATTAGCGGATATTAAAAGCAGAAAAGATGAGTCGCTGTCTTTGTCCGAAATGTCTTTTATACTTAATACAGTACAAAGTCATCATTTAACTAAGAAGTAAAATTAGTGAATAGAGTAAGTCATTGAGACAAAGATTAATGAATTAAGAATTTAGTAAATTTCACCTATACATAATAAAAAATATTCAGAATTTTGTAGATGTGTAATGCTAAAAAAAAGCACTGAACATAATGAAGACTAAAATTATTTTTTCAATCTAAATATATTGATGAATACTGTCTTTTTATCAAAACAGAATTTTCTTCATTTTGAAATCACAGCATAATAAGAGAAACATGACGGTTCCTAATGCTCTTGAATTATTTAATCCTAAAAAGTATAAATAGTCCCATAGAAAACTTCTGTAACTCAAATTCAATTGTATAAAGGTTCTCAAAGAAACAAAAGAATGAGGTTTGAATAGAATTCTATCGCTAGTTGCAAGAGATTAATTATTACAGGCAAATCGTCTACCACTCGCAACGAAAGTGAAGGCTTCGATATAGATGAATCGCCATAAATTTGCTACCTATGGATGAATTGTTCAAAATAGAATCTGGTACTAGTTTTCAAAACCGAACTGTGTATCGAAACAAGATATTCTGATTGACATTTAGAACTACGCTGAATTTCCTCATCAACAAAAAAGAAAAACGGATATAGTCTGTTGTCTATCGTATGCAATCAAAATCCATACACGAGTTGATTCGTTAAATTTTATCATCATTATGCACTCATATCTTTTGCAGAATAAAACAAAATGTGATCTCTCGAAGATTAGATTCATTTAATTAACGAAATGAAATATTTTCTCTTCTCTCAATCACTCTGACGGTTGGTTGGAATTTTGCATCGTCATACTGGAATAGGAATTATGAAGAGAAATATTCAAAATATTTCATAGTTAAGCTTAAGTTCTGTGGTTGTGTGTATCGTTACAACAACGGCACAAGTTTTTTTTGCACAGTTCTATCCTCTTAAATTGTGATTATTCAAGCAATTTGTAATTACAAAATTGCTAAAACGTACCTATTACAATTATGCTCTTGACTTGACTTTTTAGGGTGAGAGATTATCATGAGATCGGAAATGCTCAATGGTCATAAATTTGGTGTCGCAAAGTTATGTGCGTAAAAAGTAAAGCACCAAAGGAGATAACTCCGAAATTATAATCTTTTACCTGATCTATCCAGGTGAGTTATTGTCAGGAATTAGGCGTTTTCGTGGTATCGATCTTATAACAACAAATTCTCTTTGAATCTACCATGAATAATCCACTCACAAAAACACAAATACTATAGCAACAATCTGGATAGCGCAATAGTAATCTTGCTACAGGGAAAATATACCACAAAAACGTACGCCATAAGCGAGTGAAATGATGTTCGCAGTTGTGATGATCTTTCATTTGTTGGTCGGAATGTTTTCATACATTCTTGGTTACAATCGCATCAGCACTATTGATACTCTACCAACCAATACCTCTTAGGGAAATGAAGATCTGAAAGAAAATTATACTTGCCAGTTGATTGAATTTGATGACCTCGTTATGATTATATGATTTCTACTTCGATTAGACCAACATTCGTCTAAAAGCTTATTTTGGCTGAAAGTAATTATTTTAATCAACCAATATCGAATTCTAATAAATTAAATGTTTGTATTCACATTTTCAAAGATTTTTAGATCAGATATAATCCAAACAGGCTGCCGGTGGAAAGTAAACTTGGCTACTGAATTTCAGATCGGTAATTCTTAAAAAGTTCAAAAACAAATTTGTATCAAAAAAATACTAGATAACATCGAGTAAAACGTGCAAGAAATCAAACCAACTGAGCTTGTAAGAAATAAGAAACAAACGGAGCATTTAAAATATATTTCATGACCAATAAATTTCAGCTTTCTGAATGCGCGATGAAAAATAATGAGGCACTAATGAAGAGTTTAAGTGGAATAAAGATTAGCTAATTACTTATCCAGTTGATTGCTCTTACAATTAACTTCGTCATCAGGGAGTTAATTACAAAAATATTCTTCATGTTGTAGATTACAATCATTTCATTTTTCCATATAAATCTCATTAAAACAGAATTCTTTGATAGAAAATTATCGCTATGATGTCAGTGATATATTCTTTTGGGCAATGTGTCATTGAAGCGATGAATTCTGTCGCTAATGATACTCGTGATTGTGCGTCTCATGAAAGGTTCGTTGATACAATTTTAGTCCCCGCTTCATTTTACACTTTTTCTCAGACTTAGAGTCGATATTGAATATCAATATTTGTTTGTCTATGCGTTCAACATATTTGGCCTCCCACGGAATCAGACAAGATTACTTCTTTTTTGTTAATGCTACGCCAGCACTTCATTATGTTTTACTGCTTTGAATACTTCTTACAATGGAAATTCAATAAGACAGAAGTGCGAATTCATAAATATAAAATTAGAAAAAAAAGTATTATAAACTGAAATGACTTAAATATTGTTTGACGTTATTGTAATGATTTGAGCTTTGCCTAGAAAACAGTGGCATGTATTTTTCCGTTTACTCTAATAATGAATGAATACGATTGTTAGAAATGTGCTTCACTTTATAGCTCTCTACTTGAATTTTACTTTATAATGCTTTCATTAAACCACAGTGCGAATTAAAATGAATAGTGTATTCACTCTTTTGTCAGCTATCATTCCACATGTTTCTTGTTAAAACATGGGTCTCATCTATTCTTCTATCAGATATGCACTTTGTTACTTTCATTCAGCATTACGAATTTGCAATAGCTAGTATTATTCTTCAGCATTAATAATCGAAACAAGTCTTCCGATGATATATTTTACGAGTAAGATCTCCTATTCTCATTACACTATATGCCATTGTGTTTTTAATAGAAATGAGTGAGATACATAACAGATGAAGCCGATATAATCTACATTTGCAACAATTTTCTGTCAGTTGTACGCTTCACTGTGTGTTTATTCGAAAGCTATTATCGAACAGATGTCTAATACATCATTATATTCGACACATTGATGATTCTCTTTCCAGAGAAAAACAAATAAGAATATGGCGAGTGTAATTGGCAAGTTTTTGTTTTTGGATCCTTTTGTACAAGGCCTTTTAGAAGTAGCAATGCTTAAAAAAACAGCGAGTTTAGTAAATACGGAGAGGAAATGTTAAATCAGTGATGTGGGAAAAAGACATACTACAAGGATTTCTGGATTCTTTTTCTCTTTCAGCAGTGGATATATAGAAAAATAGGCGAAATCAAACGATTTAATCTGATTGTCAGCATTCTGTAAGACACAAATACAAAGAATGATTTCGAACCTACGTTTATTTTTTCTAGTAGCTTTATATTTCACAACAATAAGTAAAATATAATATAAAATACAGAGATAACTAGTTACTATGACTTTTGGTATTTGTAGCACATGGGTTTCCTCGTTATCGTCGTCAACTGAATCAGCCAACAAATAATCTTCATTCTACTGACCAACGCACTGTAACGATAAGAGACGTTTCATCGTGATATCGAACTGTTTTGCTGCAATCATCCTTCTCCTTTTATAGATACACTTTCTTTCTCCGGGGCGCGTCCCTCAACGGGAGATAACGAGAAGGTGACACGACAAAGAGGAAGAGAAAATACACATGAGAATGAGGATAAAGTCGTTATATACATTGATTAGGATAGACCGAGTGTTTATATCGGCACACGCATGAGTTGGGCAACCCAGGACGAACATTACAGTGGCCGTAACCAACCGTGCATGATACCGTAAACGGCCGTACCGTCAGAGTTACGACCGTATACGGGACGTAAATAACCCGTTTGGTATGCCCCCTGTTACGGCCGTAACCCACCGTGACGTAAACGTTAAAAACAGTGCCGTGACACGGTCGTATTTTGACTGAAACGACAGTTTACGACAACGAGAATCGCCGTATCTTAACATATACAGCCGTTTACGACCACCAAGACTGCCGAACATCAAAGTAGGCAGCAGTTTTCCATTCGTTATTCTCGATGATTTCACCTGCGAATCAAACAGATTTCATTCGAATTTCAAAACGATTCTATTTTAGATTTCGAAAAGATTTCATTTAGATTTCAAAAAGATTTCATTTAGATTTCAAAAAGATTTCATTTGGATTACAAAATGATTTCGTTTAGATTTCAACGAGATTTCATTTGGATTTCAAAAAGACTTAATTGCGATTTTGCAGCAGATTTCAAAAAGATTGCACTTGGTTTTTAGAATCCTGACATTTATAATAAAAAAAAACATTTTCTTTCGACTTAAAGTTCGAGTGATTTCCAGGAGACTGCGAATTGGGTGGAAAATGAACAGGGATTTGAGGAAAACCGGAAGACAAACTGAATTGTGGACATGCGACTTAACTTGAATCGGGAAAACGCGAAACGAAGATTCGACGAAAAGAAATCGAAGATAAATGTGATTTCAGATTTCGCATTTTAAATCAATCCCTGAATTCAATAACCACAAACGAAAATATATCTTGAGGGCGTGGGTGTGGGTGTGGGAGTCCGAATGTGGATTAACGAAAAATAACAGTTACACCCAGATCCACCCACACCCACACCCTCACGATTTTCAATGGCGCGAAAAGGTTATCAAAATCACTAGAAATCATGAGAAATCAGGCTAATTTACTTGAAATCTTTTAGATCGTTTGAAATGATTTCGAATGGTTTTTAGCTATTTCAAATAATCCCTTTTGTTTTCTGATGATTTCCATGATTTCTACTGATTTCGATGATTTCGTCCGATTTCATGCGATTCCGATTGATTTCGCCTATTGAAATCAGTTTGTTTCCCCGTGTTATCGCACATTCTGAATCTCGTTTACAGTCACTGTATTTTCACGGTAGTTGTTAAAGTCGAACGTTTACGTTCACTGTTTACCATTAACGTAATACCTCGTAAAACTTCGTATATGACCGGCGTCTACAGTCGCCGTATTTTCACGGTAGTCGTAAAAGGCGAACGTTTACGGTCATTGATTACGATTATCGTAATACATCGTAAAACGTTGTATATGTCTGTCGTAAGCGGCCACTGAAAGTAGCTATCGTTTACGATATTTCACGACATTATCCGAGCATCGTTTACGATTAACGTAATACGCCGTAAAACATCGTATATGACTGCCGTAAACGGCCAGTGTAAACGAATGCCGTTTTTCAACGTGAATGTTTGGTGTACGGCCGTTTACGGCCGGGCAGGAACGACCTGGGAAGTCATCCTAGTGACTCTTTTCCGGGTAGTTACTATTATGATGCTGATGATTATTAGAGAATATTGCTTTTATGAAAGATTATAATTGCTAGGTGTCGGATCTGATCCGAATTATGGTTCATTTATCAAACCTCAAAACCGTCCAGACGTTGGTATCTCGCTGATGAGCTACGATCCTGATTCTGCTTATAGTAGCGTTCTAATTAATTCGAATCGACCATCATTCTCTCAACAACCACAACAACAATATTTATACAATAATTATAACGGATTGCAGAGGCCAAATACGAATAATTATCATACTAGACCTAATAATGCCTACCCGCCCGGGAGTCAAGGATGGTATGCAACTGGTGGTAATTACTGGCATAATAAGGGGCAGTGTCTTATTCAGCAACCGTTTATTTTAATGCTGAGCATTCTGGTTTTAATTGTTTGTACATAATCGATAATACATGGATACTTTTTTTTTTATCTGATTAACTTTTGTTTCATATAATCAGCGCATATGCAAAATAAAATTTATATTTATCACAAAGCTTTCGTTTTTACGTTTAACAACGGTTAAAATTGAATTTTTTCACTTGATTGAATATATTTTTCAAAATTGTCATGAGATTATTTAGCGGATATCGTAATTCCTCTACCATAGAGTTTATCTGATTGCGTACTCCTTTCACTAGAACGTCTCCGTGAAGATGTCTTTTGTCCTGATAAAGAAAGTGCAGCCTTCACCATTCATCGACTTAGTACTATCACTATCATTGGAAAATACATAACTACACTTGCTTCACTGTGAAACGAAGCAAGATGTGAGTATACTTGTTTGTAACATTTTGTTTTGAAAATTGTTTATTGCATTATGAAAATACCAATGGTTCTTATTCATATTAAAACTTTTAGAGGTATACAGTAGCTGTACATGATTGACTTTTGCGTATTCTATTATTCTAAAAAGACTACTCTTGGTGCAATATGAATTCACTGCATATTTTTCAATCGTACAGTACAATTGAACATTAGAAAATACTCTTACATCGTCAACAAATTTCTAGTTCTCAATTATTCGCTTCAATTTATTGGAGCCTATGTAAGTGCACATCAATGGAGAGCTTCGCTGGCTATTTTCATATTTGATGTTTGCTAAAATCTGTCGCTTTTTAAATTCAACTACATTCAATACATTAGTCTAGTCGATAGGCAACTCTTGTTGTTTTCGTTTTGAATACTAAAAATAAAAATCTTTCAAAACTACTTGCACTTAAAAGATATTGAATCCATAAACAAAACATAAGCTCTTTTTTTTCTCGCTCGTATTAACAAATTTAAAGGAATTGACATTCTCTTGCTAATTATTCAATTATATCACTCAAGAAAATGTTACATTCAGGTATGTCTATTCCGATGAAAAGACAACACAAATCTGCTAGTTCCAACTTTTGCTTTTCGGCAATCGATCTTGTGTCGAAAATGAATACTTTGTTCCAGGTGTGCTTATAAAATAAATATCTAAATGCAGAGGTTTAATTTTTCCGAAGCGTTTTGGGTTGGTTTATTTCAAAATTTAACACTCATCAGGGCTCTGCAGTTGAGGGCATGGGTGTGTGCGTGATTCTTCTGCTCATCTACACCGACACGCACACATCCTGAACTTTAAGAGAGATTACTAGGAAATACGAACAGATTTTTTTCTACGTTTCCATCTCATTAGAAAAAGAGAAAAAAATTAATTTCTTCAGAGAGAAAGAATAACTCTCAAATATCATAATGAGCAATTTTATGAATACTCTGTGGGAGTTTTCAAAAGCTTCGTAACATAAATGTAATCGAAATTTGACAACTTCTATTGAAGTAACACATTTGTGGTTGCGAACACTATATCGAAGTCAATTAATGCCACTAAGCTTTGCCCAACTAAATAGTGGTCGAATCGAAAGAAAAAACAATAAAATTGATGATCAAATCTCTAGTGTCTGTAACATACATAGGAAGTGTACTGTTATTTTTTTAAATAACAAATTTTCGGAAAGTAAATGATATGTAGTATATTAATTGATACTTCTGCTTCGGATGTGGAATCTGTTATTGTTTACAATTTCAACCAAATTACAGAAGCAATTCTGTGATAAGAGTAAAATTAAAACAGCTCTTGTGTGAAGGCTAGCAGCGTATAATTACGTCATTTTCACCATCATCTTCTCTATAAATTAATTAAAGCAATTGCACTTAAAAATATGGGACAACAAAAATTGTTTGCACGTAGATAAAACTAGAAAAAAAAATGGTTTAATTAAATGAGGCAATTTTTGCACATTTTATTTCGTCTAAGTTCATAGTTCCTTGGTAAAAGACGACATTGACGTGGAAGAGAAAAGAGAAGAAAACTATTCATATACAGAGACATGCTAATGGGAGACTTAGCAGAAATGAAAAGAAGGTAAGATGAGTCCAAATCATTATCTGAAATGTATTTTATGCTTACCATAGTGAAGTTTCACCATCACAAGATGAAAATAAGAAATGAAACGTGAATTAGTTGATTAATCATTTAGTAGTTTAAACTTATGCATAATAAAAAAAATTTTAGCGGAGATTTTTCGGAAAAGCAACGAACTACTTTGAGTAGAATTCTATTGTTGATAACAAAAGACAAGTGATTACAGGCATGCAATCTCTCTCTTAGCGAAAGAGAAGACTACAAGATTGGTGAATTACTGTGAACCGTATATAAATACTTCCAAATATAATTACTTGTCCTCCGGAGAAAACAAAACATGCACGCCAACAAGACATTATCATTCAACTGCTGAAGATAATCTCAATGGTCTATACAATTATATATATGACAATAAATTTTACTGATGTCCTTCAATCTCTGACTGCTTTGGATATATGTTATTCATGATAGGAAGAAGTTCTGTTCGCAGCCTGAAACCGCACAATAGCATTTCAATATGTAATAATTATTCTCTTATTTTCATTCGAAAAAATAATAGATTCATGACTTCGTACTCATATAGTATAGTGAAGTATTGATTATAAATTGAAAATACAGATGGTTGCCTATTGTATAAAATACTTGAATGATTTTGCAATCATAACTATCTCTCTCATTCAATGCTACTAAACTGTAGGAAAACATTCGATCAGTCTGAAGTTATCCAAGCAGAATTCATTTTGTTTACAATATTATTAATTTTTGCTGCGCTAAGATTGCAGATACCGGCGTCCATAAAAATAAAAAGAAGCTGGCTATTTGTTGATCATAGAGCCAGTCCTAACCGCCGATAAGTCCATCGGAGCTATTACTATTATTATTATGTTGCTCTTATTTTTTTGCGTTAGAAGAGCATGGTGACATAGGAAGATAATTAGAACCTTCGCAACATGTGTGAATTACGAAAGATTTGTCGATACTTTTCAGATGAGTTATATTTAGTCAAGAAGGCTCTTTTTAGTGTCAATGATAAAATTAATATAAATAAATGACTACTAGAAATCCAAGTAGAACAAAAGAAATGCATACAGTAAAAAATTCATGACGCTAAAGGAATAATACCCTTGATCATCGCCACCATAGTAATCGATCTTCACAGGACGACGGAAACGAGATGATAAGAAAACGAAAAGGTAGAATCGTCCCTAGAATAAAAAGTAGATAAGAAGATATTATATTTTACAAATAAACTTACTCCATAAACGACTGAACAAAAAAAATGTGATACTGCCAGCCAAGGCATCATCGAGTTATTGAGCAACAGTTTTTGTAGCATATATGGTAACGGCCAGATAATCACAGAAAATGCCATACTGTGTAAGGCCTGTTGAATTAAGCAAGACTTGAATGAAAACGATAATGTTTAATTGCAGATCGACATGCTGGCGCAAGAGAACAATTGTCCTTTTAATGTTTTGATAAGCCAGAATGTCAAATAGGATCATAATAAAAACAGGCTAACTACACGAAATAATTAAGATGAACAATGCATTATAGATAAAAAAAAGCATTTTTCCAATAATAACAAGCTCCTGTAATTGGTGACATATCTTGATAATATAACCAAAGGGTGCCATGAGCCCACCAGAATATAGTAATGAACTGAGAAGCACGATATGCATTTTTAATGGTGCTATATCGACGAAAGCAAACAGGTTGAGACGCGATAAGAAATTGATCGATAGTAGCCAAACATGCACACGCCGAAAAAATAGCACAAAAACTTGAGATGAAAAAATAATGAAGTTTACACCGCACGACAGAAAAGCGCGTTGCGTCAGTTCCTATCGATGCGGCAACGACAAGTGGACCAAAACCAGCTGAAAATACACCACATTGGTGTGCAGCGGCAATAATGAAATAGAATGTACACGAAATTTTTCGGTAATAGTGTACTGTTGTTAAAATGAATATCTGCATGATGCTTCCGAAAATTCCCAAAATGAAGACAACTAAGCCAATATAGAACGTGATTACTGGATTCATCATGATTGATGTGGTGGATAAATTCACTTGCAATTGGATGTCACACCCAACTTGTGAGAGTATAGTTGTATCTTGAAAAAACCTTTGCTAAAATCGTACTAAAATCATAAAAATGCATTTTTGTTAGATAATGATAGAACTTCATTGAAAATGACTGTTTTACATAAAGTTCATCTCTATTCGGTGTGTAGTTTTCTAAGAACAGCAGATACTTTAAGCAGGCGACGACAGTCTTCATTTAAAACTATAGCGAAAAGGAATTCATAGAATTAAAATTAATGCGAGTCATTCAACAGAATTATATTTTCATCTATTTATTCATGATTTGATGGAATCTAGTGATTTAATCATGAATTTCTTCGATATCTTCCCCAAAATACGAAACTTGGTAGATAACTAGTGCGTTCTGTTATAAGATTTAACAATGTTAAAATAATCCTATCTGACTTTAAGTCTGTATCTGTGAGCGTTCTTCTTCTACAAGAATGTGGAGATAGCTTTTTTTTAAATGACTATGTTTTATAGGCAAGAATATGAAAACTATTTGTTTTTGTTGGTAGCGTAAGACTAAAGGAGAAGAACATTTGGCTCATGTTTTGCAGCTCAATGGTCATTAACTCCTCAAAAAGTTAAACACATAGGATCACTTTGACAAGTATTTAAAACTCATATGTATTTAAAGAATATTTGGTTTCTATGAAGAACCGAGAAAATTACATCTGAATGGAAAATCAGTATATTTCTCATCTTATATAGTTATTGTTGAAACATAATAAGATAGTGTTTTGAATCTCACTTGAAATAATTTTAATGTTCGGTTTCTCAACTAAAACTATTATTAAAAAAATGCAAAAATCAAACAGACCTATATTCCGTCCTCATCAAGTAACTAACAACAAGAAAACATGATTGAAGTTTTTCCACAATAAGATGTAATTTTAGAGAGACTAGAGAAAAGTGAAAAAGAAATTGTTTTATGAACTAATATAAACTCTGTAGGTTTCTTTTTTTCTAGTTAGTTTGTAAATTAATTCTTCAAAAGGCGGTCTAATACGGTAAGAACAAAAACCAAAAAGGTATTCTATATATATATGTATGTATAGGCAGAATATATCTGTGAAATTACGAGACAAGAACGATGATTCTATTTCTTTATTTAAAACTTCTTTTGTGTTTAATATAGAAATATTTTCTTCTTGACGCATGACACTCGACTGGAGCTAATGAATATTACAAACAGAAAGTAATGCAGACCTGTGTCAAAATTTCAATCACAACACGAAGCTAAAAGCCTGACAGTACACAACGGAATTAAAGCATATAGTATTGCGAAAAAACAGCCTGATAAAAGACTTCAACTACTCAAAATAATTTTAACTTAGAATTTAAAGATTACTGACAACTGACAATGAAATCCAGCACTCGTTAATTGAAGATACATTCCTCCGAATAGATTCATCCCCTGGTGGATATAAAATCTGTTATGCGTTTTCAAAAACAAATTCAGCACCCCAACAAAACATTCTCCTTATTGTGACGATTTATACATATGTTCGAGTATAAGTGATATTCTTGTACATAATAATATGTTCCTCTATCATGCGCTGTCTCTCTCTGTTCTCTTCCTGTTTGTGTGGATAGTGTGCGCTGAAGTGGAACAGACCTATAAAAGGAAGTGAGAAATTGAAATAAAGGCCCATGTCATCGAAATCGCGAGACTTTTAGCGATTAATCGTGAAATTGAAGAAAATCGCAGATTAATCGCGATTCAACTTAAAAAATCGACAATTAATTGCGATTAANTTTACTGATACTAGTAAAACTAACTTTTTCTCAAAAAAAAAATTTTTCAAAGATATTTTGATGACAATAATGTTTCTCCTAAAATATTCTTCAAGTCTAATTTATTTCTTTTCTCAATTTTCATCATCAAGAATGCATTTCTTACAAATAATGTACACGGGTAACAATAAAAATAGTCAGTTGTTGTTGTTAGTTATTGTCAATAGACTAGAATTTTCAGGCAGCAAAGTGAATGTTGTTTCTTGACGAGAGAAAAATAACAATCTAACCGACGTGATATAGCTATAGCTAGACGGCCTATCGAATAATTCAAAATTCAGTGCAATACTAATTCAGTAACTAATAGTTCGTTCACTGTTTTCGAAAAGTATGCCTCGAACATACGTGAAAAAAATCAAACCAAATTATTTAAACGCTGATGTCGATCGTGCTCTATGTCTAATTAAAGAGAAAAAGCTCACAGTTGTTGATGCTGGTCGTGAATATAATATTCCTCTTGGTACTTTATACAGTCGGCTTTCAGGGAAACGTGGTAGTGGTGGTCGTGGTCGCCCCCCTATTTTGCTAAATGATGAAGAAGAATTTTTAGTCTATGTTATTGAATTATTTCAAGAATGGCAACAGCCACTTACCCGAAAATGTGTTATTAATATGGCTCGAACATACATGATAGAACTTGGAAAAAAAATATCGTCTGATGTTCATCTTATCGAATGGTTTAATTCTTTCATGTCACGATGGCGGGACAGATTGAAAATTGCTACTTCAATGAAACTTGAACGTATTAGATCTCAATCATGCACTAAGGAAGTTATAAGTAAGTATTCTTTTTTTTAATTTTTAATGAAGGTTAAAATTTTTGAGCACAGTTGGGCATCCTTCGCAATAAGTTAGTTACGCTTATTATTCAAAGAGCAATCAATTTCTTTATTTAGCGAAATGGTTCGAACGTCTACATGTTGTTTTGAGCAAGCTTAAATTGCTAGAAAAGCCTGCATCGATCTGGAATGTCGATGAGAGCGGATTTTTTGATGATCCTGGTCGTCGTCAGGTTATAGTTAAACGTTCAACACGATATGCTATCTCATCTCAAAGTGGTAGTGGAAAATCGATGACCACTGTACTACTCTGTACATCAGCTGCCGGCAGGTAACTATTAGAAACTTCATCGTGTACTTCATTGTATTAAGTATGAAATTTTTAGGTGCCTCCCTCCTTATATTATTTACAAAGCTGCACAACTTTATGACAGTTGGTGTCCGAAAAATGGCTACCCAGGCGCACGTTATAATGTGAGCACAAACGGATGGGCTGATAGTGACACATTCAATGACTGGTTCTTGCATCATTTTGTACCAAATGTAAAACACGAAAAACGACCAATTCTTTTGATAATGGACGGTTATAAATCTCATATTTCAACGAAAATCATTAAAATAGCTCTGGACCACAATGTTCATATTGAATGCTTACCACCGCACTCAACTACACTGCTATAACCTTTAGATGTTGTAACATTATCAAAAGTGAAAACAGCATGGAGACAGCTGTTGAAAACATACAACCAAAAAACAAATTCAAAACCTATTGATAAATCACAATTTGCTTTATTAGTAAGTTCTAGCATTATCATGCCGCAAGCGTTTATCTATATTTTTAGATTGCTGAACTGTTCAAAAACTCTATATTGCCAAGTCATTGTGTTTCTGGTTTTCTTAAATCCGGAATTTATCCATATGATCCTCGAGTTATCTCAAAAGAAAAGTTATTAGAACCACCAACAGTAATTACAAGCTCCTCATATCAACCTGTTGCATGTTCGAATTCCATTGATAAATCGCCTTCAAACTTTAATGATTTAACATTGAAAGTATGTCCGTCAACAACTAGACCATCTTCATGTCCAAATATTTTATTAGCTGGTATGTGCATAATAAAAACATCAATGTTAATACTACATGATACTTTTCTAGAGCAAACTTTAAGACAAAACAATATATCTTTAACAACATCAAATCCAACTGTAAATTGTCTCATCACAACTAATCAAGTTGTTTTAGGTATTGCATCAATCATCCATCGAAAAGATACTTTATTTTCCATTTTTCACTTTTAAGATACGAATCATTTATCAAATAGCATTTTACTAAATTCGACCATGAAAGATTTAACAATCTCTCCTGATATTTTTTCAAGTGAGTTGGAAGAAAAAATAAACCTATTGTGCTTAATATTGATTTAATAGATCAAATGGAATCATTCATATTAGACGGCGTTACCAATGACATATCTATAGACGCCAATGCTAGTTTTAACACTATTAATACTTCAAGTAAAATAAAATGAACTACAAAAAATATCGTGTTCAAATATTTTTTCTAATCATAGATGTACCAAATATCGTGGTCAATAATACTCCTGTCATTTACGATGATAATGGAAATAAAACATATACAGGTCAGTATTTCAAGCTTCAAATAATTTTCAATCATTTTCAATTTTAGATTTGGTCAATGTTTCAATGGTGGCGAACACCAACAACAATCAAGCATTAACATCACCACCAATGTATTTCAGTAGGTTCTTACACTTTCATGATTATAGTACTTATTTTATGCTCATAGATCGGAATTTATATACTGACAATATCTCCATATTTGCATCAACATCCAACCACTGTATAGCACCTCTACCTGTAACGCATTTAAACGCAAATGCGTCGAACAACTCTTGTGAAATATCTAGTAACGATTATTCTACGTTACCATCGAATCAAAACGATAAATTAACGACTCAAACAGTGCTCAATGCTATAACAACAGCAATTGGCAAGCACATGTCTCCTATGATTACATCAACAAATAAACGTAAACGAATGGTAGAACGTCCCTACGGGGAAAGTTTGACGAGTGTAGAAGCTTATTTAAAAGTCCAGGAAAAAGAAAATAAACGAAAAAAAGGAAAACCAGCTTCTAAGAAAACCACTGCTAAATCTGGAACAACAACCACAACCGACAACAATAGCTCAAAGATATCGACAAAGAAAAAGTGAGCTCATTCTAACAGAAACTTTTATACTGTTTGTGTTTTTAGTAATCGAAATAAAAAAAAAAACATTTCTTACTGTTGATAATGAAGGCTCCTACAGTGCTACTGCCGATCAAGATTCAAAACCAAAAGAAGTGCCAATAGCGACACCAGTGTCCTCGATGCAACATCAATATATTTCGAACACAATTTATCAACCTCCATTTCACAATACATCACCGTTAAATCAACCTGTTTTACAATCTCAATTGATCCCTTATTCATCATATGCCACTGGTCCAATTGGCCAATCTCAATCGAATCCTTATTCATCATATGCAACGGGTCCATTTGATCAATCGCAAAGGGATAATGCAGCAAGTCAAAGTTGGGTGTACTGGCAGTATCCTAATACGAACAATTATCCATTATAGGCTCAAAAGATACTTTTCATCTTGGAACTAACTTCACTAATTGTCCGTTTGTATTACTTCATTTGATTTAGTAAAGCTTTGAATAAGATGTAAAAAAATATGAAAGATATATTCAAGTTTCTAATTGAAACTTATAGGCCACTTGATTTGAAATGTTTGTTTTATCGTTATTTTTTGAACAACTGACTATTTTTATTGTTACCCGTGTACATTATTTGTAAGAAATGCATTCTTGATGATGAAAATTGAGAAAAGAAATAAATTAGACTTGAAGAATATTTTAGGAGAGACATTATTGTCATCAAAATATCTTTGAAAAATTTTTTTTTTGAGAAAAAGTTAGTTTTACTAGTATCAGTAAATTTAGCTGCGATTTCACATTTACCCCACTTGCTCCTGCACGATTATACATTTACCCCATATGAGGTAAATGCATAGAAAATTTTGTATTTTAGCTCTCTAAAAACTTTTTGTTAAAACTTTGTATTTACTATATGAATGTTTGAAATAGTTTCATATCCTAGATAAAACATTAACGTATTCATTCGTGAAAAAAATTCTTAAAAAATAAAGCAGATCGGCTAATACTTTTATTTTACTGAGCAAGCAAAAAATAGCTGAGATTATACATTTACCCCACTAACACCAGCAAGATTACACATTTACCTCAACTGGGGTAAATGTAAAATTTTGTTGGGGCTCTCAGAAAATTTATCACCACTAGCTTGTGATGCCATATTTTTCAAAAATCTTTTCACTGATCGACAGAAAAGAATTTTCACTACATTTCTCTAACAGAAATTATTTCAACACAATCGATTATAAAAAAGATACAAGAGAAATAAAAAGCATCTTCGATTTTCCTTTTACATTTACCCCATCTGACTCTATATAACTTGTTAAAATTCCTATTTATATTAAATGAACGTTATATGTAAACTTAGTAGTCACAATTTGTATTAATCGCAGGTGTAGATAATTTCTTGTGAATTTAAATTCAATAATACAATTAGTAAATTTGGAAGAAGAAATTTTTTATCAAGCTATTAAAAATTCTATAATTAAAATTGTAATCATTCGGATTATTCATACGAACATTTTTCAAGAGAACATCAAACTTCGAAATGCGATTTAGTTACTACAAAATTTTTAATTAATATTCCTAGATAGATGTGCTCAGTATAACATGAGATTCTTCACATGTTAACGGAGCCTTTACATACTTATAGGGGTATTGTTTTCTACTAAATGGTCATTCTAATTAGAATTGAATCATAAAAGTTGTAGTTATAAACATAGAAATTTAAAGCAAGTTGAATCAAGCGTCTCACGGATGTTCTAAATTGTTTTGTGTTCAAGCTAAATTCTTAAATATTGATTTATATTTCGAACTCTAATAATGCAGCACATGAATCATAGATTAATACCTAGGTTTTGAACATTACTTGATGTCAACTTGTAAATATATATGTTGTTCGAAAAATTTTTCAAAATTGTAATAACAATTTTCTTATGTCTTATTAAATTTTATTTGAAGATGATCGAATAGAAATTACAGGATGAAAGAAAGAGATTTAATAGTAAAAAATAAACCTGAATAAATATGAAATTCCTAGCATCGTTTACACTTAGTTTGATGCTGAGATTAAAGAAATACATTTCACCGCAATAAAAAGTGATCCAATTGTGTCTTCATAGAATGAGTCACTTTTTAAAAGTGTTGAATCACAACGGATAACATATTTTCTTTTCACCTTTCTAAACTGCCATCTATATATAACATTCACGAAGTCAGAAGCTATTAAAGCATGACGTCATTGCTCTTTTTAAGACGGGACACTAGACTCGTGATTATATCAATGATCATACCGCAGCATCAAATTCAGACTGGCGACAAACATAGGCTAAATGAGTGGGTTTGGCATCGGTAAACAATTGATTCCATAATATTTGTAGAGTTTTTAAAGAAATTATATATCCAATTCAATAGAGTATTAGTTATTTCTTTATCTCAATGGCCTTATATGTACGAAGTCGACGAGTTAATAATTCTTTTTTGTTTTGTTTAGAGTGGAGTGGTAGAATTCTCATATATAACGATTCGACGTAGAATAAATATCCATGTCTTTGCTTGAATGCACTTACATTTAGTCATTCATTTCAACTTCGTCTAATCTAACCATTGCTATGTTATCTTTATTTTCAGATACGATGCCATTGATGTCAACATCGCACAACCACGGTACTAGCTTTGCTATTCGACAAGCTTCTCAACAAAATTTGTTTGATTTACCACAACAATCACCATCGACATCATTTGAAACACCATCAATTAATGTCTCATCGCCATCTGAATCGAGAATCGTAATGAATACAAATGTATCGGCCCAACTGTGCCGATATAAGCACTCGTTCTATCTTAATCAATGTACATAACGACTTTCTTCCTCATTGTCATGTGTATTCTCTCTTCCTCTTTGTCGTGTTCTTTCTCGTTCTCTCCGGTTGAGTGACGCACCCCGGAGAAAGAAAAGTGTAACTATAAAAGGAGAAGGGTGATTGAAATAAAACAGTTCGATATCACGATAAAACATTCTTATCGTTACAGGCGCATTGAAGCTCATAAAACAGTCGATCAATTTTACGAGCGCATGTGTTATGAACTGTTCGAAGAAAGAAAGAATAAGCCGATGGAAAAACTTACTACAATACGAAATACTTTGGATACACTCATTCGAAAACAAGGAGCAACTCATGAAAATATTGATTCACTAGTCAATGATATGCAATTGATTGAGCAAGAAATCAATGGTCTTAAAAATATTCAAGTTAACTTGCGTCCATTAGTTATTGATGTCAATTCAGTAATTCAATCGAATTCAAGCAATAGGTAAATATTATAGTTTTCTTATGGCAATAACAAAACACTTTCTCTTGTAAGAATAATTTTAGTTTTTTTGCTATTGAAATTTATTGAAATCCGTTTAAAGTATTGATTTAGATAGAAGATATAGAGCTGGATACATACAAGAGCAGAACATTGCAATTTATCGTCAATTCGAAAAGTGTCTTCCTAATTTCGAAAACAAACCATCAGAGAGATCTATATATATTTCGACAATCAAGTTTCAAGACTTATAGATCAGACAGTACATAGCTAGATTTAAAACTCAAAAGTGTAATCTGTCCCAGGAGGATCATCCCGCCGTCTGAAAGGCCATCCGAGCTGACGGAAAACGGCGCCGTTTTTTAACGTTTTAAATCGTTTTTATGCCGTTTCAGGCCGTTTACGGGCCGTTTTTTTTCAGTTGGGAAGTTAATTTAATTTTAAAAAAAATTCTATAAAGTTAAATTCAAAATAAATTAGAATTTTTCTCATACAAAAATGTAAATTTTCAGAATTTTAATTTAATTCAAATTAAATTTTTGAAAATTTATTTCTCGATTTAACAAATTTTTTGAAATTAAAATGTGACACCCCTAAGAGCGATAGAATGATCATTTCATCTTCATGCCATGTTTTCGATTTTTTTCAAGTAAAAAAAACTAAGATGTGAGTTTTTAATATGCTCATTAAATTCATATATTATTTTTTTGTTCGTCGTGGTCCCCATTAGATTAAGAAAAAGCTTTAATATTGACTTTTAACCCATATTGTATTGAGATTATCACTAAATCTTCGTATGTTTTTCGTGACAGCAGTCGAAAAATACTGAAATATGAAATCTCTTTCGTACATTAACTGTCTACTACTTTTCAAGATAAATCCAAGCTTTTCTCTCACAACTTGTAAAGGTGTTTGGTATCGAAAAAGTATTCAAAAAATTAATTCTCAATAAACATGTACTTGCTCAGTCTTTCAATAACTACAGACTGAGTGCAGTCTTTTTCAAATCTAAATTCTTTGTTACCTATGCTTATATCTGATGATTTTCTAATTTGTGAGTAAAACGCATTCGTTTTTCAGTAAATACTGTTTCGAACGTTTTTAAATCAAAATTATCAAATTCAAATGTTTTAAGAGTACTACAACAGACTGAAAATATTGAACTACTACAGACGATTTCCGGTGATTATAACGATACGCGAGCATTTTCAAATAGAAGTCCATTTCAACTGTTTATTCAGGTAATTTTGCATTGGTGATCAATCTTTTATACGTATAATATTATATTTATCTACAGCTTCCTAGTGCAAGAACAATCCTCCTTACAGTAAGATACCGTTTAAACTGAGATGTACAGGCATTGATTTGAGAAAAATCTTAGATCGATCCAACTGACACAATTATAACACTTAAACAACGAATCGCAGAGAGAGTAGGTGTTCCAGCAGAACACCAATGTCTCACAAAGATGGGAAAAATTCTGAAAGGTAATCATTATTTTTGTTATGTAATTTTTTATATAATTCTTTTATATATATATATATATAAGACGAATACTCTATTGCTACCTATGATATACAAAAACAGTCCAACATAAGCTTAAGTCTTCGAATGAATCAGCAGTCAACCAACGATAATGCATCTTGAACATTAGCAATTGACCGATGACTACAACTAATCATAACTAAACAAGAACGTCATGAATTTCAGAACTATTACAATCATTTATTTTAAACTTTTTAATCAAGATGTTTTTCTGAATCAACTGTTACAATATTAACTTTACTCAACCAATATTAGCGTTCACAGATTTCCATTTTGTTTCGAACTTTTTTTTTATAAATCAAGACAATAAAATGTACTTTATTGAACACACTCAATCGAAAAATTCAACTCAATGGAAATCTGAAATTATTCTAGTACTATCTAATCTAATATAGGTTATACTTTGAAATTAATGATTTAGATAATGTAAAATATTCTTGCGAAAATTTTTGAAAAAATCGCTATTTCAACTCCTACATGACTAATATTAGAATTGCAATATAATAACTGTTATGCTTATCACCAATAAGATATGTGTCAAGGTGATTACTATGACTAGTGATGGAAGCAGTAAACGGAATGTATCTGAATCTCTCGATGTATACTTCATCACTTCTTTTAGAACATGTTTTACAAAAGTATATCCATAAAAATAGACAAATTGAAATAATTGAAGAAAAAATCTACTAGATGACTAATAGATACATATGATGATCAAGATGAAATTTTAATTTTAACATTCAACGTTTCACACTAGTCGACGATCTTGACTTCGATCTGTCCAGGTTCTTGTTTTTCTTGAATATCAGACAAGATTCTTTTGCCATTCCTTCTGTACAAGATTCTTGTCTGANTATTTATAAAAAAACCCGTTGAAACGCGTCTTATAAAACAGGCAAATGTTCTAGCGAAATCATGTTCGAAAAAAAAAGAACGCGTTCAAATGCACATTTTTTTGAATTTTTTTTTCATGGGTAGTATCATGCAGCAGATAAATAAATTAAAAATAAACATATCTAAGATCTTATCTTTTAGAACAAGTATCAATTTTCCTTGGTTATCGTCTTCTTATAAACTGATGAACTTAGTAAAAATGAATTAATTAACAAGATTCGATTAAGGTTTCTCACAATAAGATTAAAAATATAATGAAATTATAATATTAATCGTGGATTTCTATCAAAATAAAAAGCATCCTTGAATAAAAAATGAAAGTGTAAATGCATTTAATCATCTTAAAACTACAATTTCGGATAGTAACATGAATATAATTATTATTGGTTAGAAAATATTCTTCGATATTCATTTGTTTCTGGTAGAATTACATCAAAAATAAATTTAGACAATAGATGATAATGCACATACTATCGATCCATTTGGTTCGTGAACAATAGAAATCCAATCGATGCTATAAAAGTAAAATTAATTGAATGATACAATGGAATTCTTCAAAATAATCGTCAATATTGTGCATAACATGAAACTGCTGTTTTGATGGCAATATCTTGAAATCTAGTTCTTTACACCCGGGGAGACATCTAATCAAGATATTTTGATACAACAGATTGATATGATTGTTATGAATAAGTATATATATGAGTAAATTGCAACTTTTTGGTACAATAGGTGTTTTAGCTGTATTTGCTTAATAACTTTTGTTCTACTCCACCAATTTTAATAATTTTTTTGCAGTTATTACGCTCTATGTGTTCCACTGCCACACCAAATTTCAAGTCGCTATCTCATACTGTTGAGGACTTATAGATCTTACACTGTGAAAAAATCATATTATACATGGAGATATGTTACAAGAACGATATTTTCTTAATATGAAAAATGAGAGGAAAATATAATGATTAGGCCATTTTGTAGAGCTTGAAACGATCTTTCAAATGATATATCTTTTGTTTTTTTTTACTCCTTCTTTTTGTGCCCATTCGCTTTAAATTTGAAATTACAGACACTTATGCATTTGTGTGTAGACCCACCTTGTCCCTCAATTTTCTCCCTGTGACTATGACTTAAAGAAGCGGGAAGGTGTTTAAAAGAAAGACCATTGAGCTATAAACAAAGTGATAAAAAAAACTTCTTGTGAACAGTTTTTGTCTTTATTAAAAAAAAATGATCTTCTCCGAAAAATTCAAATTTTACTCACTTTGTAGTCACCTTTTTAAAATTTCATCGCTTACAACTTTTGAACAATGCATCTGTTTTCGCTCAAATTTATACCATAACTAAAAATTCAGCCGTCTATTTTTTCCCTTTTGCGAGAAACTTAAATTATATGACAAAATGTAGACTCACTTTTTTTTTTTTTAAATGTAGACTCACCTTTCTTATATGCTATTTCAACGAAAAGTACATCAAAATGAGTATTTTTTCGCAGGATTCAATATACTCCCGAATATGAATCAAGGATCAAAAAATAATTTTCTAGCTGCTTTCGAATTGTATTACTATTAAAATACATACAAACCGACATGCAGCTTTAGTTAGTGGAAAATAATACATACATAAAAAATTGTATATTTATACAAGGCATATGTCCCTTAATAATCGACAAAGTGTAGGGAAATTTTTTTTTGTATACTACTGGCATAGAATGTAATAAAATGCACTACTCAGAAATTGTTTAGGTTCACTTTCGTCTTTTTCAGCCATTCGTACCAAAAAGTTGCAATTCACTCATATATATATATATGCATTACTTGAGGGATTTTTCTATAACAAAAGCAAAGGTGTGGTTTTCTCAATATATGTTTGTCTGTTTACATCTCACACTTTTAACGTACATTGAGTAACATGACATGCATATGTGATGTAAATTATATGAGACCAAACGATATCAATGTAAAAGAATTAATTAAAAAAGATTAAGCGTCGTTTGTTTTTAGTCAAGAGAATAAATAGATTGCTTTTATTTATACTCTTGTAAGTTTAAAGTTCTGTTATAAATACGAACTTCGCATATTTCTTTACTGACAGACAATTTCAAAATCAATAAATGGTGAATATATTTAATTTTCGTTATTCTGTGTTGGACATTTTCTACATTGTTGTCTTTGTTGATGTCGTCTTGAAAAGACTGATGGATTTTGTCTCGTTATTAAGGAGAAAAATAGAGTTTTCTTCATATTGCCGTTTCAAAATATTCTATTATGTTCTTTTATTATTCACTTATGCACTAATATAGACAATGGATTATTGAAGCATAAAAATATAAGTAAATTGTTTCTTTTAATTAAATCTCAATTCATTATAAAAATTAAGTGCACCAACAATACTTGTTTGATACATGGTTGTTGTTCTTACTACACTAAATCGTTCAGCACGTTCAAAATTTGCTTTAGTTCCTTCATAGTAAGGTCCATCGGAAAGAACAAATGATAATAAATTTGTACATCTTACTCTAGAAATATTTATAGATTGAATAATTTCATCAAAAACAAAATGAAATAGATTCAATACCTAAGATGATCGATGAATTTCGATGAATTTTCACTAAAACGTAATGTTTCGGGATCCCATTGAATTTCAAAACGTCTTAGATGAGGACAATGTATCGCACAAGATTCCAATATTTGATCAATATGAATACGACGTGATATTTGTCTAAACCAACTATGTGCTGTACCAATAATTAGTATTCTATTAAAGCAAAAAAGAGCAGAAAAGAATTTGTATCCTATTGAAAAAGAATAAGAGAACATTGATCACTTGATTCGATGAAGAAATCGGATAGAATCAATCCAAAATTGTTCTGTAATAGCATCGCAACCTGTGTAGTTTAATGCTTCAAGTCGATAAGTTACACCGGGTGATGATGTCAATAGATGATGAGTTGTTTCAACATTTAAATTCACTGTATTACTTAAATCAAGTGCTCGACATCCATTCAATGTACCTCGTTCCATTAATAATTTTAATACCTAAAACATATAACCGAAGAAGAATTCTTTTTTTGTACAATAAGACAAACATCTATACCTTATCCGTAAAACCATCACAGTAGGAAACTGCTAAATATGTAAGTTTTGGTACGCGAGAGAAAAACTCCAGCAGACCTTTTTCAGTTAGTTCTGTTGATGAAATATCTAATTCTGTTAGTTGAGTTGATGACCAATTAACAGTAAGCATGGCTTCATCTTCAATACCTATAATGAGCAATTATAAAGTTTATGTTATTATCCTTTTTGTTTTATCAATTTGTTTCCAAACAAAACAGCAAACCATTTTTTTTGCATATATTCGATCAATCTAGTCAAGGACATACACCAATAATATGATACTATAAATAATCTTTTTCTCCCCTAAATATCACCCATAGAGTTATTATCAATAATTTTTCAATTAAACAGCCCAGCACAAGTAATCAAAATAAAATTCTATTCCCTACATTATGCCAATCAAATTGTGTTCATCTTTCTTACCCGTATTTTGTAATAATAAACATTGTAATTTTGCACAACGATTCATTAGATTTTTAAAACTAGTTCCATGTACTCTAACACAAAAATTTAGTGCAAGACATTGAAGATGCATACAACCAGATGCAATAAGTTCTATATGATTATCATCAATAAAACCGATACCATATAAATTGATGATACGTAAATTTGGTGCATGAGTTTTGATTTTACTAATATTGATTGTTTCATATGTATCTGTTTCTTCTGGTGATGCTATTGAAGATTTTTCCATTGTACCAATAATATGTAAAGTATTTAACGATGAAATATATCCATAGATTCGGCGCATAAAAGCTTCGAGAAATATGACTTCTGATAAACAAACACATAAACGTTTAAGATTGCATGGAAATTCATTTAAGTCATTAAAATCATGTAATTGCATTGCTGATGAAAAATCAAGCGTTAAATACTCTAAATTTGGACAATGATTAGCTAATACACGTAAAATTTCAACTGTGATTAGTTCAACAGGTAAATCAATACAAACAAGTGCTGATGCACAACGAGTACCAAGCATAAAAATAAATTTATCAATATGACGAACATGCACTGCACCAATAAAACCGTTACCACAATCTGGACGTAGAAAAAGACGTCGCCATAATTGTTGATGATGTGAAACAAGTAGATGCCAACGGTGACATACGTGCGTACAACGAATAAGATCAATAGGAGTTAAGTAAGCAAATACAGATACAAGAATTGAATCAGGAAGAACTCCAAGTGACTTTAACTGAAACATAAAAATCTGAATTAATCAACGAACAAAACCCGTAAATAGCTTACTTCAGTTGGTCGATATTTTGGTAAATTTTCCATTATCATATCGATTGGCAGATCTATCTCTAAATTATGTTCTTCATTATTTGGTATGATTCGATTTGATCCATGTCCATTTGTACCAACAGCAATAACTGATATTTTACGTCTGTTGTCCATATGTAACTGACACTAAAATATAGGATTTGTCTGTATATCTTCAACTAATGTTCTTTGAAAGTGTTTATTTCTTATTCTTCTGCATTTCTTAACTACATACATAAACTCTCTCTCTCTCTCGCTCTGGTATTATCAGTGTCTGCCATTATTCATTAGCATCATAAACAATCCCTCCTAGACCTTCGCTTGACAGGAAAAAACATTGGTCTTGATGAGAAATGAGATAGAAAAATATCAAACGCTATAAATATCATCTACATGTAAATAACAGGTGTCTCTTTTGTATAAATTATATGTCCTTATATGAAAACAAGATCATAATGTTAGTCATAATCAATAGTTACAATGTTCTTACAGGTGACTGAATAAGTACATTTCTATGAATAAATTATCTTGACTGTTTAGATTGATTTATTGTCGTTTATATATTTAGACACTCATCATAACTACTGACTAATAGTAGCCTTGGGGTGCATCCTTCGTTCATTGTACAGATTATCCTTGTTGAATACTACATTAGGCATCGTTTATTGTAACAAAACTATTTTGCTGAATCAATTGCTAATAAATGTTAAGGTCCAATAGAAAAATATTTCCACTAGTGTTTCACAGTTCATCAATAATATTTTTACTCATCATCTGTTCTTGTTTTCTTTATTTTTCAGTTAACACTGTTACAAATACAATTAACATATCATTGTAGAATATCAATAAATCATCAGAGAGATGACGTTAGTGAATTTTTTTCGTTTCTATTAAGAAAATATAAATGGCTTCGGCTTGCTTGACATTTCATTTGCAACAAAATTTCAGAGTAATAACTCAATTTTGGCATAATTGATTATGAAATAAATTGATAAAATGAATTGTACTTCTTTTCACAGATCAATTATTGTTAGTTTATTAGTAAATATATTGAAGGGAATCATTTTTTCTCAATTTCATGAATATCTATGTTTAAAACTTTTGAAAACGATGCTGTTAATTGAATGTATCGTGAGCATATTTTATCAAACATTTTGATTACGATCCTTATATTAAATAATAGTTTTCATATGCATCACTGTTAACAACAATTGTTTATAAAAAATGAATGTAGACAAAAATTAATATTTCGCAGTACTTCGATCATTGGTTCCCTACCGAATCTAGAGCAACAACAAAAAAATGAAATTCTTGTCTTGTATATTTTTCATGGTCGATCCAGTACTATTGACTTTTATTTTAATGTATGTATATGCTCTTTGTGTGTTTATTTGTTAAATCGTGATTTCAGTTTATCAACTATTTCTCGAGAAATGTAGTTTGTCTATTCTGTGTTTTGATTATTATCGGAATTCATCCTAGAAAAAGAAAAAGAAGAAAAAAATTCAAATGAAGTTATTGTTTCTTTTCTTTTCTTCCAACAGTAACTACGATGTATGTACCAGTTTTGGAGTGTAGACACCTTATCAACAACTTTACTTTTCTCTTCTCTATTTCTTTTTCTTCTCCACTTCACTCAAAATTTGAATATATAACTGCAAACAAAGAACAAACAGTTAGAAACGAAGCAAGGAGCGAAGAGAGAAAAAGAGAAAAGATGCGATTCTTTCTATGAGTTGTCATGAAGATCAGTTCAGTTCGAAATGCAATCAGTACGTTTTCACGTGATTCATTCTTCTTCTTTTTTCTGTACTACTTGGTCGCTTCATAGCAACGCAAATAAACAAACGATATGATTGCATCCTTTGTTCATTACTCGACAACGGATGTGCGCAACAAAATGAAGAATAAGTTACCCTAGAAACGTTTCTATTCGATGGTTGCTAGCAACATCGAGAGTAAGTGTCTGTGTAAAACATAGAGAGAGAGAAAAAAAGAGAAATAATATTCCCCTATATAAATCTATGTGTATTTGAGTCGACAGTCGTTCGTTTTTGTCTAACGGTTTTTTCAACATTACTTTTACTCGTCGCCGAAGCAACTACTAATAAAAATGCGTGAAATCGTACATAGTAAGTTTGATTGACGAAAAAAGTTTCAATATGATGAAATTTAATATAATATTATCTAGTGCAAGCTGGTCAATGTGGTAACCAAATTGGTGCCAAAGTATGTTATCTAAATATTGTAGTTAATGATCAATAGTTAATTGGTCGTTTTATTTTTGTCTGTTAGTTTTGGGAAGTTATCTCAGATGAACACGGTATTGACCCCACAGGTACCTATCATGGTGATTCCGATCTCCAACTCGAACGCATCAATGTCTACTATAACGAAGCTGCTGGTATATATTTATATATAAATTGAAAGAGTTTTATGTCAAATAAAATAATATTCTTTAATTCAGGTGGTAAATATGTTCCACGTGCTGTACTCGTTGATTTGGAACCAGGTACTATGGATTCAGTACGATCAGGTCCATTTGGTCAACTTTTCCGACCTGATAACTTTGTTTTTGGCCAATCTGGTGCTGGTAACAACTGGGCTAAAGGACACTACACAGAAGGTGCCGAACTTGTCGATTCAGTTTTGGATGTTGTACGTAAAGAAGCTGAATCTTGCGATTGTCTCCAAGGCTTTCAATTGACGCATTCATTGGGTGGTGGTACTGGATCTGGTATGGGAACATTACTTATTTCAAAAATCCGTGAAGAATACCCCGATCGTAAGTTACATTGATTTAAAAGAACAATCAGTTTTAACTAATTCACAATTTTCTCTATCTCTCTCTTTCTCTAGGAATCATGAACACATTCAGTGTTGTCCCATCACCAAAAGTCTCTGATACAGTTGTTGAACCATACAATGCCACACTCTCAGTCCATCAATTGGTTGAAAACACCGATGAAACATACTGTATTGATAATGAAGCTTTATATGATATTTGCTTCCGTACTTTGAAACTTACAACACCAACCTATGGAGATCTTAATCATCTTGTCTCAGCTACCATGTCTGGTGTAACAACTTGCCTCCGATTTCCTGGTATGATAAATAAATCATAACATAATTTTCATTATTCATTTTGTTCTCTTTGTGTCTTTATAGGTCAACTTAATGCTGATTTACGTAAATTGGCTGTCAACATGGTTCCATTTCCACGGCTTCACTTCTTTATGCCAGGTTTCGCACCGCTTACATCACGTGGTTCACAACAATATCGTGCATTAACTGTACCAGAACTTACACAACAGATGTTCGACGCTAAGAACATGATGGCTGCTTGTGATCCACGACACGGTCGTTATCTTACCGTTGCTGCAATCTTCCGAGGTCGTATGTCAATGAAAGAAGTTGATGAACAAATGTTGAATGTTCAAAACAAAAACTCATCCTACTTCGTCGAATGGATCCCCAACAATGTTAAAACAGCTGTCTGTGATATTCCACCACGTGGTCTTAAGATGTCAGCTACTTTCATTGGTAAGATTTTATATTGATTAGCAATAAGAAAATAATGATTTTTGATTTTATAGGTAACAGCACAGCTATTCAAGAACTCTTCAAACGCATTTCGGAACAATTCACAGCTATGTTCCGTCGAAAGGCCTTTCTTCATTGGTATACTGGCGAAGGCATGGACGAAATGGTTAGTTTATTTTGTATAATTTTGTTAACATCAACTTTTATTTATTGATATGTTTTAGGAATTCACTGAAGCTGAATCTAACATGAACGATCTCGTTAGTGAATATCAACAATATCAAGATGCTACAGCTGAAGGTAAAATTCTTGATACGTCTGAAATTTTCTTAATTGAATGTTTTTTTCATTTTTTTTTCAGAAGAAGGTGAAGGTGGCGAAGAAGAAGGTGAACAAGAAGGCGCCTAAACCAATTCACAGAGCAAAGACAATTTTTTTTATCATCATCATCATCATTATCAACGTTTTCTTTTAATACTATTATAACATCCTTTAAATCTCTCTATCTAGTTTTCTTTTTCCTGTACGATCGTTTGCCTCTTCTTATTTTTGTGTACAATGTCTTGTATGTGAAAAAGAATGAATAATATCGAAGAGACACAATAATAGTTTTTTTTTGTAATATTTTAATGAGAAATAATAAATGATGATGAATAAGAACGGAAAACTTTTAATTTATTTTTCATTAAAATAAAAACCAAATAGATGATCAATAAGTGGCACTTATTAATGATATTTGTATTTTGTTGATCAGAATCAATACAAGTCTTTGTCAGCCTTGGCAAATTGTCAAATACTGTTGTATTTTTGTTGCAAACAAACATGAAAACTTCTTTTTTTTTAATTATCTCATGTGTTTCAAGATCTATGAAATTCTGATTCATATATTCAAGAATGATATTTTATATTATCGATAATTCCTTTTTATATGAACTTCATAGCTCAACGATTGACAGAAATTAATCTAACGTACGAAATAAAACGTTCGACTTCTATCATATTTTGCATGAAACATGGACGCGAATGTGTTTTATACATGTTTTGTCTTTGAATACAGATACATTGAACGGTACAGCATCAATACAACAGTTATTGAGCATATCTGAACAGATCAAAACAAGTTACTACATTAGTTGAATTTTCTTTTAGTCCTTATAAATGTCGAGCAACTATGAACTTCTTTCCCTCCCCCTCCCGAACGATAGCTAACAATAGGGCAATTAAAAATGTGTAGTAATATTATTTAAAAAATTAACACAGTAATCGATATTCAACACTTTAAACAAGTCATTTTGGTAATTATAGTAGAGTAATACTGAAATATAGTACGTCATTGGATGAACTCTCCATGATATAGTTTCTTGAAGTTGTCAAGTTTATAAAATATCTCTTGGACAATTTTTATTCTTCAAAAATGATTTCTTATTCGATTTTTTATGATTACAATGTTTCACAGGTTCTGTCTTGTTGGAGATGAAATCAGCAAGACTCGTATCATGAATTACATCTGTATCAAATGGAATACATAAGTAGAAACAATAAAATATCCATAACCAATTTCAGATGTGATTGGAATGCATGAAATAAATACTGGGAACAAAGTGCTGTTTATTTATAAAGCTGTATCGACGGATGGAAAAACATTGAGTTAAATGATCATTTTCTGACCGAGTCATATTGAAAACATTTGTTAGAATATATAAATAGAAGTCTTTTTTACTAATAAAACAAACAGTTAATCTCTTTAATCAGATTTACTTGATAAAGGATTTTAGAATTTTTATTGTATCGCTTGATTATCGTTTATTGCTGTTTGTTGCTACGAAATCGGCGATAAATAAATAAAAAGTATGTGAAATGTTTCAATTTTTCAAGTTAGTCTTTTTATCTTTGATAAAATGAATATTTTCGATGAAATACTTGATTGATATGATAAAAAAACCTTTGTGCTAAAAACGAGCGGAATACAATAGTCGGCCTATAAATACTTAGCGTCTCTCTAGTTTTTGAATGTCTTCTCGGTTTACTATAGATTGTGACTGGTTCTTTTTCAAACGATTCAGCGCTTCATTTTCTACAAATTCTGAGGATATGAAGATGTGTAAAAGACGAGTTAAATAACTAGATGCTAGTCATCTCCAAAAAAGAAAAGAGCAGTGATTTATTGTTTGAGGGGGAAAGTTACTCTTCTTTTACATAATAGGAAGACATTTTGGGAATCATTGAGTATAGTAAAACGAGACAGTTTTTAAAACTCTACAAAATGAATACTTGAATGTGCCTATTTACTTTAATCTAAGACGAGATACATTATAAGAGAACGATGTTTCTAGGTTTGAAAGTTGTTGATATTACTTGATCACTGTAGCACTATAGTAAGCATTTTCCTTTCATTTCTATCGGATGCATTTATTTCCAATTTTTGTCGAGAATCAAATACTGACTCTTTTGAACATATTGACGCCCCTTACTTTTATGGGCAACCTGCTACGATCAAAAGAGATATATATCTCAATATTATGAATGTTTTTAAGGTCAACAATGTAAACATGTCATCAAATTCAAGTTTTAGACTGGAAAAACTTTTCGTTCAGTAACTTAAATAAAAAGAAAATTTTTATTCGATGCTCCCTTGATTAGAATAAATATAACAAGAAAATACAATTGTTTTAGAAAGTTGTTAAAGCAATGTCTACGGGGTTAAAAAGAAAAGCATGATGAAACTGCTTTTTACAAGCTATCTGTAACAGTTTGTGGGGAATGAAATTCAAACTTCTATCTGATATAGTAATCATGTTTCTTCCAAGAAACTAACTAAATTTCTATTTTAGTCTCAGCTGGATTTTAAAAGCACCTTCCAGACTCTTCTAGACTGTGATTGCGAATCGTTTTCTGTAAAACGACCCAAAATTCTTGAGAATAGTTTGCCGTCAGTATAGAATTTCATTAATGGTATATGAAAAAATAGAGAGAAAATCAAACAGAATCTGTCAGGTCGACAGAACGAAAATAACATGTTTGATGTAAACATCAGTGTGCTAGTATGTTTCGAGACAAGACAAATGAAGTGTAGCATTGCATTTTGATTAAACATTCAGTGAATATATTTTTTGGTATACGAGTGAATAAGAAATATTTTTAGGGCGAAAGTTTTCACTCATTTCTATACTAAAAAACAGACATAATTATCGCTATGTTTGAGTGTGGATGAAGGAGTGCGATCAGAAGATGATTACAACCACATCCGCTGGGAGATGATACCCATGTTACAAACGAGATAGGAGATATGTACACTTGCATGTTGGATATATTCCTTTTTATCATTTATGCTTTCATACTGTGAAACTAATATAATGAGACATTCTTCAGCATCTCACTAGCCTTTATTATTTTAACTGGCAAGATATGGAATGGATAATATGGAGTAGTGAAAACAGTGATGATCTAGGACCAAATCTATGGCCATCAGATAACATCAACATCGACGCAGCTGATCATGTTCATTTGAAAATATGTTTATCGAACGAAAGATGGGCTTGTGCTGAAGTTTAAACACGTCAAAAGTATCGTTTCGGACAATATGTGTGATACGTTGAAAGTGTGATAGATAGATTCGATCAGAAAATTGTCTTAGGTATCTTCACCTATCCGACACGAGGCATGGGTCTCGAGGGTACAAACGAAATCGATATCGAATGGAGTAAATGTGAACAAACTGATTCAGATGTAATTAATCTTAGCTCTATTGTTTTCCCGAGAAACAAAGGTGGTCTGGTTGTTTCAGATAAGAAGAAACACTATTTGAATGGCACTTATACCATGAATACATTCACTTGGTCTCATCAAGGTGTGAAAACTGAATACTATCACGGGCGCACAACTGATGATCAAAACAAGTTCTTCGAATGGGAAACTCCTCATCATTTTGCCGATTCTTGTCCGAGAACTCCTGTACCTATAGACATGAATGTTTGAATTCATCAAACAAAGATTCCAGATTCAGCACCAATGAACAATCAAGAAGTCAAAGTCATCATACACAAGTTTACTTTTGCACCCCAATGGAAGAGATCTAACTGTTTCACATACATATTATGTGAGGCCCAAACTATTCGATTACTATATTTCTTAATTCGCAAAAAAAGGAAAAGAATAATTAAGTGAAACGTTTAATTCAAACTTTCATTGTACATTTCGACTTCTTTCAGAAAGAATCAACTATCTGTTATTGAATAGCTGAGCATAGTTTGATTTAACCCTTATTGTCCAATCAGACAGTAGTTACCTGAAACGTTAGAGAATAGTTGTTTCTGAGTGTCTAAATGTGTGTGTGTGGAGAAAAATGATCGGACACACAGTAAGAAATTTGGATTTTTTGAACTTCAAGACGTACACAGATTTTGTGTCGAATATATACGTAGCTATAGATAAATGTTTGAATGCTCAGAAAGCGACCTTCATTAGTGGGTTCACGAACAAATTTTTAGCTATTAAATACATGAAATAGTGAAATATCTACGTTTTTGAGAAGTTGCTTACGGTTCTGTAGGGAATGATAATTAGTAACTGTTTCAACTCTTGCAAAATGAGCAATTTAGCCACTTTGCACACGCATTTTTCTGCTACAACCAAAAGTTTGCTAGTGTTATGAACTGTAATTTATTTTATTTTTCTTTTACTTAGAAATTTGGGTGTTAAATTTTCCTAATCCCAAGATTTTGAGTGCGTTATCAAGCGAAAATTTTCATTCCTATTGTGGTCCTTAAAAATCAATATTTTATTTTTCATTTTTGTGTTGTATTATTATCACCTTGATAATCTTTCTCTTCATGAAGCATTCCAGTTATTTTCTATCTTTGATCGTCGATTCAATTATATTAATAAAAGACATCTCTGTCAGCTGAGGTATGACTTCCAGAGATTAAAAAATTTATTAAAATTATCTGCACGCTATGATTATTATACTCTCTTGTTTAAAATAAAAATAGTCAATTTCTATCAAACCTAAAAAGAATTTCCTTTTGCGAAATGCAATCGTTGTCGAATTAACGAGACATTCTCTGTTCAGTTTATGCATATGGTTCAGAAATATAGTGCATAAAGCATGAGGACCAATGAAATTTGTTCGAACGAGCCTCTATGATGAGACGAGATCGATTGGCAAAATAACTATCTGTTGTTTACTTATTATGAGAATATTTATCTGAGTACAACATATCAAGAATATTCATCTGACATTGAGATAGAACCTAAGTTTTCATAATAATATAAAGAGGTAGTATTTATTGTAGAAATAAAATAAGCATTCAATTATTAACCAGAAGGTAAAATATATAGCAAGCGAAAAGTTTATAAACTCTGCACTCATTTTGTTTTTGATTCAATATAGCGTTACATCAATACATTGTTAGGTTTGATCATTTCTTGTTTGAAATAGAAAACTCTGTATTATAGAACTGTGGAATATATTTCGTTTGAATTAAGTACTAAAGATCAAAACATTATAAAGAAATATGTTTGAATAGAATATTAACTTGTAAATGTGGACCTGTATTTCGCTTGTGAAATTTGTAGACCAATTGTTTGTTGATGTACACAGCATATGCGTGAGCTTGCTTGTAGTATCCAAATATTTTAATTGTACTACAATAACTTATTGTAGAGTTATAGAGCATCGATCAACGATAGAAAATAAGATTAATTTTCTTAGTTAATCGAATTTGTTTTTCTGTGAGATTTCAAAAATGTATCCAGTGTTATTAAAACTTTTCAGCCGCCAACGAGTATTTTGAACTAAATATATTTACATTGTGCGTTTTAGAATAAAACTTTTTTTCTTTTTGATAAAAAAACTTATTCAGTCTTCGGGACATGTTGTTGTCACGCTATATTAAATAAAAGAAGAGTAATGCAAAACGTTTTCATCATCAATTATAGGTACTCCTCTTCATATCTTTATTCTATCTACATAAATATCAATTCTATTATATTAGTAATATTTTGAGTTCATGAATTCATTTAAAACACTTAAAAACATCGTTTTAGTTCGTTGTAACATATGGTAAACAGAATGATGCATCCTCTTTTGCTGCTAATGTTAACATATGTTCCGACAATCAATTGTAATTCTCGATTGTTCATAATTTTACGAATCTCGATAAATAATTAACAGTAATTCGTTGGGAAAAAAAAAATTTTTTTATTCACGATTGCTTAATAAAAAAGTCTTTTTATCTTTGATAACCCATATAAATACAATATAACTTCATCTGTAAGCTAAAGTTGTCACCTTTAGTATCATGCTGAGATATCTGATTTCCTTTTTATTTTTTAACATGATCGACTATATATTCTGAATCACGTCAGGATAATTTTCTTTTCCGCTATGTTTTTTTTGAGTACTAATCATCAGTATATGTAATGTACAAGACTATGTGTAGGTTGAGCAGTTCTCTTTCATACATCGATGAAAGATCCATTCTGGATAGGGCACAATAAGAATATCAATGTTTTACTCGTAGTCTGCGAAGTTCTCTATAAAGGAAAGAGAGAGAAGAAAAATGCGATATCTTTTCTGATGACTTGTCGGCTGTTTGTACTCTTGCTCTTTTTTTTTTTCTTTTCTATTCTTATTTTTTTTTCTTCTTTCGTCATTGTATGCACATAAGGCGAGAATGACCGAAGAAAAAAAGGAAACGGGAATCTTGCGTGTGTGTATGTGTATATACACAGCCACACACATACACTAGGCTTTGCGGTAATGATGAGAGTTCGTCCTCTCATCGAACAGCAAGAAAAAAAGAAATGGTGGGAAGAAGCGACAAAGAAAGACCCTGAAAGAAACGACAAACGCTTCTCGATATGTACATTGATAGATTGTTAGTTATAGTGAAGACGTTTATTCTCTCGCTCTACTTCTGTAGTCTATTCATTGTTATTCTTATATCATATACAAACATTTTGAATATTCCTACTTTTTTTTTGTTTAGATAATCATCATGCGTTATTTATTATCGATTGCACTCATAGTTTTATCGATTGAAAATATTTACAGTCAAGTAGCATTTGATTCATTCTGCTTAACTGAAGCTACCGTTTCTGGATTAACATCGATTGATGGCAGTGATGAATTTGAAATAGATCTTTATGAGTCAAAATTTTTACCTGACGATACAATTTTATGTTAGTAAAACAAAAGTCTTCTTTTTTTTATCGAATAATTTCCATTCTAGTGGCAATTAAACAAAAGCGTCCAAATAATGGTATTGGTGAATTTGTTATACGTGCTTTTGATAATGAATATCATGTTGTCGGCCGATTTGATGATCGCCAAACAGGAAACCTAGCTTTAAAACACAATTCATGTACAAATGGAGCTAGTGTATGTATTTGAAAAGTTAATTGCTAAATCTTGCATTTAGTTTTGTATATATATATTAGGTTATATACGTCGATAAAGTTGAAAGTCGGGGCTATCGAGAAATTCCATTAGCATGGCAAGCGACTGGTCTTTCTTCTAATCTTGATGAAATTGTATTTAGGTAAATTAATTTTTCCATATTTGTGTTAATCTTATTTTATTTTATATTTTGTAGAGCTGACATTGTTTCTAATCAACAAATCTATCGAGTCAAATCTGCACCTTTAAAACGAGTAAGTTCTAGTTTATTCTTTGGCTATAATAAAATTTGTTCTGTGTGTATTTTTAAAGCGTTCGGGGCCTGAATTCATCCCTTATTCAGAAGATCAGTCAGTTAACATTGATTATTGTGGTGAATCACAAGGTTGTTTGATTGTTCCACAAAATTGTAATAATCAGGCTAAATGTGACTATGCACTTTCATGGCAAGTACTTGATGAACAAACAGCCAAATTTCATATTGTTGCAAGAGCAAGTGGTTTCGTTGGTGTTGGATTCTCTAATGATGAAAAACGAGTATGTGGAATAAGCAAATAATAAAAAGAATTAAATTTGATTTTTCATTTAGGGCGATGATCAAGTTATATTATGTACAAAAGATGCTCAAGGTTATGTTTATGTACGTAATATGTTTGTTAGTGTTCAAACACCACAGTATATTTCAAGTGATCGGCCATCGTATGGTTTACGAGATACAGACGGTTATGCAAATGCGTCACATATTATATGTAAATTCATAAGAACATTATCACTTGATGCAGATACCCCAGTTGACAATTCTGGTAAAAATCGTGATGGTGCTAATAATAGAAATAAAATTGTTAACTTGAAAGAACCTCATTATATGTATCCAGTTTATGCTGATCAAGATTTGGTAACATCAAAAGGTATGTTCAGAGGAATTTGATGAATATTTCTTAGTGAATATGCTGAGTACGCTAAATACTATCATTATTATCATAGGAGCTGACTGTTGATGAATTAGTATTAAGAAAAATTCTTCTAAATTTCCTATGTATTCATTTTTTGAAAAAATTCTATTCATGCTGGTTTCATAACTGATAAATATTCATTTCATGCGACTATTCTCAGTAGGACCCTCTTTTCCGAGCATGTGGGCCATTCTGGTAACAGAATATCTGAAAATAGATCTTTCTAATAAAACGACTCAGCACATTCACACAGATTTATGTATGGAATAATCAGTACAAACTTCTGACCATACATTTATAACAACATCGATTATCAATAATATATTTTAATAGGTATGCGTATTCCCGTTCAAGATATTCCAATTGTAAATAATCATCCGATTAATTTTGAACGTCGTATTTATCCAAAATCTCATCCACGAGCTGGTTCTTTTCTAGCTAAAATTCATGGTAATCTTAGTTGATATTGAAATTCTACAAGAAACATCTTTTGTTTCTTGTCTTTTCTAGCTATTTTAAACATAATAGCATGGATACTTCTTGCATCAGCAGGTGTTATGGTTTCTCGTTATTTTGATACAATTTGGCCTGAATATGAGCGTCGTGTTGTTGTTGATGGTAATGGTGTTGTCACAGGAGAAAAATTACAACGCCGAAGACGATTTTCTTTTCTTAGTGTAATTATTTTTAGAAATATTTTTCTTTGTTTTTATTCACGATAATTATTTCTTGTAGGTTTTTCAACCGACTATGATAACAGTAGCTATTTTAACATGGGTCGCATTTTTTGCTATACTTTTTGAACTTGACTGGCAATGGACACATGGTACACATCATATGTGGCATTCAATTCTTGGTGTTATCGTACTTGTTTGTGCTTTTCTTGCTGTATGTATACGATGATAATCATTGATAAGTTAATTATTATTTTGCGTTTAGCCAATTTTTGGAATTTTACGTCCGACACCTCGAACAAAACGTTATTGCTGTTGGTATTGGATACATTGGTTGATTGTCGCTTTGGCGCAATGTCTTGCTGTACCAGTTATATTTTTGGGTATGGATAATCGTCGATTAGATTTGTGGACATGGTGTTCATGGCTTTTATTTGGTTGGTGTATATTTCATTTTATTGTTCAACTTATTTTTGAAATTCATACATGCTGTCATGCAAGACAAGATTATGAACGTATGTTTCATTTGAGAAGATCAACAATAAAATCTATGGCATTTTTTAATCTTTAGGTTTTGAAGATCCTGATTATTATCCAGAGAAAAATCACGATCATCGCATACGACGAGAGCGTGTACCGGTAAGTTTTCACTCGGGAAAAGTTTTTCTCAATGTTTCCTATATTTTCTTTAATGCTAGGGTGAATCATGGAAACCAGCTCTCTTGGGTATTTATATGTTGGTCACGTTAATTGTGGTCATAATTCTCATTCTTGCTGTCATTTTTTATGACGGTTATTAAATTAACATAAGAGAAAAAAGATCATTAAGATTTGATAAAATTCTTCTCTGCTTTGTAATAATTTGTTGCATATAACTTTTAAAACAATCAGAAGAATATTTACTATGTTTTTTGTGTTGCTATTTAAAGTTAGCGTAGACATGTGTGGATGTGTGTTGCTTCTATTATAGCATTTTTTTCTCTTCTTTTAAACAGTATTCGAATAATAATATAATACCTATGTTCACCCATTTTGTGCATTTGACAGTGAATAATTGCTTTTGTTCATTAGTGAATTATTACGTAAAGGTATCAATAAAAATCGATAGGTGAGATCAGACAACAAAAACAATGATATTGACTAAATAACTAATCGATGTATTAAATATAAAGTTGGCCAAAGTCAAACTAAATGGAAAATTTAGTTCAAGTAATAACTGTAAATTTCAGTTATCAATCTTTTCCATAGTTTAAAAAAAATTAAAATTTGAATAGTTCTATTATATGTCTATATTGTTACCTGGTCAATTTGGATTATTTTAACACTTTCTCATGAAACAATTGATTATACTAGCATGTCACTATAATCATGTGTCTGCTTTTTGTTGTTGCAAACTTCAAAGAAGTGACTGTATATAAATAGATCTTTTCTAATTAAGTCATTAGCATTTTTTTCTACGTTTAATGTACCAATGATGCGATGATAAACTGTAGCAGAAGAACAGAACATATTCCAATTTCAATTGATCTCGCATTCATTCGTCGAAACAATAAACGCAAAGAAGGCATGAACAAGACCAATCACACATGGAGCACATAAAGTGAAGCAACTAATACTTAAGCCTTATAAAAATAACGTAAGCTAAGAAAGAGGAAATTTTTCGGTGGTTGTTCTACATAATATTGCTATGCCTTTTCGTTTAAAGTCAATCGCTCTTATTCACTTGGTTTATTATGTGTTTGTACGATGATTATCTCGATTTATAGACAAGCAAACTTGCAGACAAGTCATTTTTAATGAAATGAAGTCCAATATTTTTTAGGTTTTTTTTATAAAAATTCATCACATGTTGTAATGACTCACAAACGCAAATGAAACCGATTAGGGTTCTAGCTTCTTTGATCTACTGTTTTTTATCACCGAAACTTGTGTAAAATACTTTTTT